TGGAGTGAACCATTTGGAAAAATATTCTCATGGTCGGCACAACGTTTTTGGTCGCCATATTTAGGGGAGGGGGCAAAAGTAATGGGCAGCTTCACTCAATTCATCACATTTTCTCAAAATAATTGCACAAATGACTTCAAATTGCACATAATAATAGATCAAAACAGCAGGAAGGACCACAAGGCTAAAGGTCACTAACCTGGCCGTGAGACAGGTCCATATTCCACTCTCCTCAAGTGTTGTATCATATGACCAAGACTAGTATTATATGACCATAGACTGTATATATAAATGCACCTGATATGGACCTAAGATGGAGCACGGCCCAAATTTTCCTGATAACTGCTAGCCTTGGTGAGTTTCATTTGACTGGAGCTGAACACTGCCGGTGACGTCACACTCCTTCAGTCCACTTCTTTATACAGTCTGTGTTTAGGATCAGATCTATTTTCTCCGCACTGACCACACTGCTGGATGTGGGAAAGCCGTCCACAGGGATGAGGGTGAGGGGGCGGGTCATGTTTGTGACTGTGGCACCTGTGACTAATATGACTCCATTTAGTTTAGCGTTTACTTTAGTGCGCAGTTATTATTTATCTTAGCATTTAATTTTGTGTTTTGTTTATTGTATAGTGTTTAGTTTAGTGCGCAGTTGAGAATTTAGTTTAGCATTTAATTTTGCGTTTAGTTTGGCATTTAGTTTAGTATTTAGTGTTTAGTGTTTAGTTTGGCATTTAGTGTTTAGATTAGTGTTAAGTGTAGTGTTTAGTGTTTAGGTTAGGGTTTAGTTTAGCGTTTAGTGTTTAGTTTATCGTTTAGTGTTTACTTAAGTTTAGTGTTTCATGTAGTGTTTAGTTTAGCGTTTAGTGTTTACTTAAGTTTAGTGTTTACTTAAGTTTAGTGTTTACTTAAGTTTAGTGTTTACTTAAGTTTAGTGTTTACCTTAGTGTTTAGTTTAGCTTCTTAGTTTAGCTTTTGGTGTTTACTTAAGTAAACACTAAACTAAACATTAAACTTAAGTTTAGTGTTTCGTTTAGTGTTTCGTTTAGTGTTTCGTTTAGTGTTTCGTTTAGTGTTTAATTTAGTGTTTAGTTTAGTGTTTACTTAAGTAAACACTAAACTAAACATTAAACTTAAGTTTAGTGTTTCGTTTAGTGTTTCGTTTAGTGTTTAATTTAGTGTTTAGTTTAGTGTTTACTTAAGTAAACACTAAACTAAACATTAAACTTAAGTTTAGTGTTTCGTTTAGTGTTTAATTTAGTGTTTAGTTTAGTGTTTACTTAAGTTTAGTGTTTAGTTTAGTGTTTACTTTAGTTTAGTGTTTAGTTTAGTGTTTAGTTTTGTGTTTTGTTTAGTGTTTAGTTTAGTGTTTCGTTTAGTGTTTAACGTTTAGTGTTTCGTTTAGTGTTTACTTAAGTTTAGTGTTTAGTTTAGTGTTTACTTAAGTTTAGCGTTTAGTTTAGCGTTTAGTGTTTCGTGTTTACTTAAGTTTAGCGTTTAGTTTAGCGTTTAGTGTTTAGTTTAGCGTTTAGTGTTTAGTTTAGCGTTTAGTGTTTAGTTTATCGTTTAGTTTTTACTTAAGTTTAGTGTTTACTTAAGTTTAGTGTTTAGCTTTTAGTTTAGCTTTTGGTGTTTACTTAAGTAAACACTAAACTAAACATTAAACTTAAGTTTAGTGTTTCGTTTAGTGTTTCGTTTAGTGTTTCGCTTAGTGTTTAGTTTAGTGTTTTTTTTAGTGTTTAGTTTAGCGTTTAGTGTTTAGTTTATCGTTTAGTGTTTACTTAAGTTTAGTGTTTCGTGCAGTGTTTAGTGTAGCGTTTAGTGTTTACTTAAGTTTAGTGTTTACTTAAGTTTAGTGTTTACCTTAGTGTTTAGTTTAGCTTTTGGTGTTTACTTAAGTAAACACTAAACTAAACATTAAACTTAAGTTTAGTGTTTCGTTTAGTGTTTCGTTTAGTGTCTCGCTTAGTGTTTCGTTTAGTGTTTCGTTTAGTGTTTCGTTTAGTGTTTCGCTTAGTGTTTCGTTTAGTGTTTAGTGTTTCGTTTAGTGTTTAGTGTTTCGTTTAGTGTTTACTTAAGTTTAGTGTTTCGTTTAGTGTTTACTTAAGTTTAGCGTTTAGTTTAGCGTTTAGTGTTTAGTTTAGTGTTTCGTGTTTACTTAAGCTTAGCGTTTATTTTAGCGTTTAGTTTAGCGTTTAGTGTTTAATTAAGTTTAGTGTTTAATTAAGTTTAGCATTTAGTTTAGTTTAGTGTTTAGTTTAGTGTTTCGTGTTTATTTAAGTTTAGCGTTTATTTTAGCGTTAAGTTTAGTGTTTACTTAAGTTTAGTGTTTACCTTAGTGTTTAGTTTAGCGTTTAGTTTAGCTTTTGGTGTTTACTTAAGTTTAATGTTTAGTTTAGCGTTTGGTGTTTAGTTTAGTGTTCAATTTAGCATTTAGTGTTTACCTTAGTGTTTAGTTTAGCATTAACTTAAGTTTATTGTTTAGTTTAGCGTTTACTTAAGTTTAGCGTTTAGTTTAGCGTTTAGTTTACAGCAATGATTCTCAACCATGGACCGGGGCCCAAAGTAGGGCCACGATTGCTCTCTTGAGGGTCACAAGAGGATAGTACATTTAATATGAGACTGGGCACAAATAATGGGCCCTGAGAAAAAAAAAAAAGTGAAGATCCTCTGGTTTTGCTCACAGACGCAAAAAATGGTTCTAGTTGTATTGTGTCGCTATCAAGTGTTTTCACTGTTGGAATATAAGAAATACACAACCATTTAATTTACCTGTGAGTCTTACTGGGAGAGCTGGGCAAAGTCTTTTCTTGCTTTTGTGTCACTCATTTGTATTAAATCTAGCTTCAGATGGAGTTACAGTGCCTTTATATATTTAACACATGCATTTCTTCAAACGTCAGTATTTGAGCATATCCTCCAGTCGTCCCATGCTCGCCTGTGGGCTGCTGTCGTTTTCCCCTTTGCCATGATTGAAAGTGTTTGAAACCCTGGATGCCCTACCGTGAGAATCCAGTTATATTTCTGACTAGCACTGAGCATTCATGTTTTATAAGTTTCTGTTCAAAGTTCACATTTGAAACGCGTCCAAAAGAATTGACAAAAAGACTGAAATCTGAACTGACATACGAATACAAGAATCACACTTGAGAACATGTTCGTGCAGATCTAACGGGTTAGACGTTTTTATGCAGAATAAGACAGACAGATTTTAATTTTGATGTAGGGAGAGAAACACACAGACAGAGTGAGCGAGGGAGAAACAAAGAGAGACAGAGCGAAAGAGAGAGAGAGGTCCCGGGGTTCAAAACAAGTCCGATCCTGACCTGATCTGACCTGGCTCACACCTGCGTTAGCTTTAGCGTTAGCCGCCGCCGTGCCGCTGAGCAACGCCACAACAGGGGTCAAACTACAGACTGCAAAATAAGAGGAAAACATGGGACAACTGTACTGAGGTCAACAATAAGAATACGAAGCCTGAGCATGTGACTTTAAAGCTACACCAAGTAACTTCTTTGGGGGAGGGTCCGTCACGTGCCAGTCTCCACGGTGATGTTACCGCTTTTTCTGGAATATTCCACAGTATTGCATTAAAAGTCCCGCGTTAACAGCTGCATTTTTACATTTGGTTCAGTAGAGATTTGCAGTTCCAAGGTTGAAATTATCCAAATGATTCTAGTGAAGTTGTGTGGAGTTTTAAAAAAAAAAGAAAAGTAGTCTAAATGTGCGGGGTTTTGTGTGTTAAACGTGTGAATGAAACAAAACACAACCCCAGGTCTGTTTGTGATGAGGAAACATTAGAACACAGATGAGGAGATACGTGTGGATGGTGTGATACGGAGCACATTCCAGGGGAGTCACGTGTTTTTAGCGTGTTTCTGTGTTTCTGTGTTTTTTGTGGCGTGAACAAAAGTGACGGGCTGTGAGGTATTTCGACACAGGAATAAAGCCAAAGACTGGATCAGAGGGAGGGAGAGAAGAGGAGAGGTGAGGGGGAGGGCAGAGAGGAAAGAGAAAAGAGGAGAGATGGGAAGTGGAGAGGAAAGAGGGGACGAGGAGAGGAAAGAGGACAGGAGAGAGGAAAGAGGAGTGGAGCGAGGAAGTGGAGAAGGAAGAGGAGAGGGAGGGCAAAGAAGAGAGGAAAGAGGAGAGGTGATACAAAAGAGGAGAGGAGAGAGGGGAAGTGGAGAGGAGAGTGGGAGGGAGAAGAGGAAAGAGAGGAGAGGAAAGGGGAGATGAAAGAGGGGAGGAGAAGAGAGGAGATACAAAAGAGAGGAGAGATGGGAAGTGGAGAGGAAAGAGGGGGCGAGGAGAGAGGAAAGAGGAGAGGAGAAGTGGGGAGGGAAGAGGAGAGGAGATACAAAAGAAAGGAGAGGAAAGAGGGAGAGAGGAGAAAGGAGCGAGGAAGTGGAGAAGGAAGAGGAGAGGGAGGGCAAAGAGGAGAGGTGAGACAAAAGAGAAGAGGAAAGGAGAGATGAAAGAGGGGAAGGAGAGAGGAGAGGAGATACAAATGAGAGGAGAGAGGGGAAGTGGAGAGAAAAGAGTGGAGGTGGAGAGGAAAGAGCAGAGGAGAGGGGGAGGAGAAGGAGAGGGGAAGAGGAGAGGGAGGAAGGGCAGGAGGGAGAGAGAAGAGGAGGTGGGGAGAGTGAGACAGGTGAGAGGGAGAGAGGATGGAGAGAGGAAGAGACAAAAGGAGAGGAGTGGGGAGAAAGAGAGAGAAAGAAGGAGATGAGAGGGACAGAGAGAAGATGAAGAGAGCCAGAGGGAAGGAAGCGAGACCAAAGGAGAGGAGGATGGGGAGAGAGAGACAGAAAAGGACTGGGCAGAGAAATAAAAGGAGGAGACAGGTGAAGGGGAGAGGGAGAGAGAGTTAGATTAGAAAAGAAGGATGGGACGGAGAAGAGGGGAGAGCAAGAGTTTATTCCTTGTACTTCATGTTACACGGACTAAACCGAGGACTGAACCAAGACTAAACCAAGTCTCCTCTTCTTCTCTTCCAGACTGAGGGCCAGGACCTTCTTCTTCTTGAAGTGGACGCTGCACCGGCGCCCTCCAAACTGCTGCTCCCTCCTGGACAACGCCTGTCACTACAACTCTAACCTTCATTTGATTTTTGATTTTTTGATTTTTTGATTTTTTTTTTTTAAACATATCTCCTCTTTTGTTTTCTAATAATAATAATATTGATACAACCCCTGTCCCTTCTCCATTGCGGGCTGCTTTCCCAAAACGATGAACTGTGAAATAAAAAAAAAAAAAAAAGGGAGATTGGACTCTTCAGCCAATATGGTACTGACAAAAGCACCAATGTTGATTACTTCTATCACAATTTTTGCCCCTAAACCTGTTTACCATGTGGCATTTACTTGTGTCCCCCTTCCTTAAAATCGGTACAGGGCAGCGGAAATGAAATCTTGTTAAAATGGCTTCCAAAGTAATTTAAAATGAAAGTGAGCTTTTGTTCAAATATTTCAGATTTCGATTCATTTCAAACCAAGGTGAGTTTTTTGTGAGAATATTTGTCTTCAAAAATATTCACGACAAAATTGAACAAAATAATCTGACATATTTCAAGATTTTAAAATTCTCATTTCACTTTTGAAGGAAAAAATTAACCCTGGGCTTGACTAAATATGTAAATTCTAAAAACAGCTGAGCGAGACACACGGGAGGGCATCTGACGCAGCGACATTCAAAACACTGCAGGATTTTCACACATTTTAAATTTGAAGCCATTTTAACAGACGTGCTTTATTTTTCGCTGTGAAGTTTGTGGCTGGGTCCATTCAAGCTTCAGGAGCGGTACAAAACTCTACAGCGCCCCCTACGCTTCGATGAGGGGGACGTTTTTTCACAGTTTACCAGTGCAGTTTCCTCTAGTCTTGACATTTCTGGTACTAAAATGGCCCATCAAATACAAAACGATACAAGCAGTATTTTTTGCAGTTTTCTATCATAATTTATTCAGATTTTTACCTCATGAGGAGCGCAGTTCAAAATTCAAAAAAGCGTTAAAGAGTTAATTTTGGATTTTGTTTGTGTTCACATATATAATTGTTTTCAAAATTGTTTGACGAGTCATTTCGACATTTCTATTTCAAAAAGTTTACATTGATTTGCTCAGACAATGTGCTGTAAAAATGAAATATGGCCATTTGGGAAAGTTTGTTCAGATAAACCCAAATGTTGCTTTGTGTGAATAAAAATATTCCTGGTTTAATTCATTACAGGAAGAATTTGAGATTTCAGTATTTTTATTATGAGAAGAGTTTAATTACAATTTCATGTTTTTTTTGGTTTTTTTTTTACTATTATTGACTCACAATCAAGCAGCAGTTTAAGGACTGGACCAGGACGAAATCCGGACTAAACCAGGACTGGACCAGGACGTAATCCGGACTAAACCAGGACTGGACCGGGACGAAATCTGGACTAAACCAGGACTGGACCGGGACGAAATCCGGACTAAACCAGGACTGGACCGGGACGAAATCCGGACTAAACCAGGACTGGACCGGGACGAAATCCGGACTAAACCACAGGACTGGACCGGGACGAAATCCGGACTAAACCAGGACTGGACCGGGACGAAATCCGGACTAAACCACAACTGGACCGGGTCGAAATCCGGACTAAACCAGGACTGGACTGGACCGGGACGAAATCCGGACTAAACCAGGACTGGACCGGGATGAAATCTGGACTAAACCAGGACTGGACCGGGACGAAATCCGGACTAAACCACAACTGGACCGGGTCGAAATCCGGACTAAACCAGGACTGGACCAGGACGTAATCTGGCCTAAACCACGACTGGACCAGGATGAAATCTGGACTAAACCAGGACTGGACCAGGATGAAATCTGGACTAATCCAGGACTGGATCAGGACCAGGAAATTCTTCATTCACTTTGATTCATACTGTCTAAGGACTAAACCAAGACTGGACGAGGACTATACCCGGAGTCAGCTGGGACAATCAGGACTGAACCAGGACTCAGCTGAGATTGAACCAGGACTAAACCAAGGGTTCAACTGGGACTAAACCAGGAAACCAAGGACTCGGCTAGGACTGAACCAGAACTGAACCAGGAGTCAACTGATACTGATCCAGGACTAAAGCCAGACTCAGCTGGGACTGAACCAGGACTGAACCAGGACTCAGCTGGAACTGAACCTGATTAAATTGGAAATATATCTGGATAAGTCTGTGGCACGTCTCTCCTCCATCAAACCTGCATCATTTCAGATTTCAGTTAAATACAAGTTCATATAATTTACTCTTCGTCTTTAACTCTCACTTTTATTTAATCATATTTTTGGTGCAATATTTTAGAGTGGCATTATAAGACGATAGGAACTTATGACTTTTATTTGTGGGCATTTATTAAATCCCATATTACAAGACTATTTTAATACAGTAAACACACGACTTAACTGAACCTTTTGAGCAAAATTAAATGTAGAAATATGTATGAAAATCTGCTCACCAAATATTTACATTTTTATTCTTTTTGAAGTTACCAAAGTGAAGTTAAATTATTTTTGTATGATTCACTAAAGAAAGAGTACGGTACATTTCCTCTTTCAAATGTTTATTCCAACCATATACAACTGTTTCATTCTTAAATTTTTGCAGATATTGGCCCAATATTAAACAAATTATATAAAATTATTCTGTAAAAAAATCGTGAAATATTTTCAAAATTTTTGCAACTGTGGCGAGACAAATGTCCAATTATAAAATTCTTTGCGTGTTTACAAAAAGGCATTTTTACTGTGAAAAGGCTTGCAACTCCCTCCTGTTTGTTTCTATGGAAATTTTGTTCATGAAAATCCTATCTCCGTGGAGAATGTTCCAAAGTATGGCTTTTTTCTATTTCCATGGAATCATACAAGTGTGGCATGAGTCCTTCAGAAATTTACATACTGTGGCTTTAATAAATAATATGAAATTATTCAGCAGATTTGCAATGTTTAAAAAAAGTAAAATAATAAAAATAAAAAGGTTTCTCAATTTTTTTTTTCTTTTTTATTTAATTTTAATTTATTCATTTTATTTTGAATATTTAAATTTTTTGTGAGCAAACTGCACTGGTAAACCTAACTCTATACCTCTAAAAGATGTTTGACTGAAAACCCCCAAAAATCCCCCAAACCTGATTGGTATTTTCGTGCTTGGTTTGAATGTGGTACCAGCGCCCCCTGGAGGTGCACTGGCGCTAAACCAACTTAAAGAAAATATTTTAAAATGTGACAAAAATGTCTTATCTGTACATTATGAACAATTTGAGCTATTTTTGTCTGATCCTATATTTCCCCGAAAAACTCTCGAACAAAGAATGAAAAGTATTTAAAGGGCCCATATTACGCTGTTTTGTGCTCTGTGTTCTAATGTTTCCTCATCATCAACAGACCTGGAGTTATGTCAAAACACGGTTCCACCTTGTGATGTCATGTGGTAATACAGGAAGTGCTCGATTGTGTTTTTAAATTCCACATACTTTCACTAGAATCACTATGATTTCTGCTTGAGAATTCCGGATCTCTGCTGAATTAAACACAAAAAATAACTGTTAACTTGAAAACTACCACTTCATGACATCACAAGTTGGAACGGAGCATTTTGCGTTTTGGAGATGTAGACAGACTCGTAATAGAGCTACTCAAACATGTGTGAATGAAACAAAACGCAACTCCCGGTCTGTTTTTGATGGAGGAAACAACATTATAACTAGGGATGTGATGATATCCAAATTTCTCGATACGATAATTTCACAATGTGCATCGATATCTTTTCCGATATTTTGTGGAGGCTTACAAAAGTGTGAACTTGCTACTTTTTCCTTCTAAAAAGTCTTGACAAGCCTTTGGTCCTGTTATAATACAAAGAAGTAACATTTAAAAGTGCAGTACAGTCGTTTCTTCATGTAGTCTGCACTGAAACCGCAAAGCATCATGGTCTATGTAGTTCCCTTTGTTTTTTTAGCCATCCCTGCACCAAAACAATGAATTTAACCAAAGAGGCTTGTAATTCTATATATTACGACGACCCACGATATTATTGTGAGACTTTTGACGATACCGTATCACGATTTCGGTTATTATTACGTCCCTAATTATAACACGACTAAAAGTTCATAAGAGTCAATTTTGCGTAACGTAGGACCCTGTATTGCCCTGTATTAATAATTATCATATTAATATCTGTTGTGTACCTGATGTTTTGAATTTCTTTGACAAAAACTGTAGATTTTCGGGGGGGTAGTTGAGAAAAAAGATATACATTTTTGGAATTCTATGTCATGATATCTAAAATTGTCCTGTTACAATCATTTGAAATTTTGGGAATTTGAAAATAACTAATATATATATTTAAATCTCTATTGTGGCCCTTTGTGAAGAGTAGGGTTTACGGTACATTTTTATGCAAAGTTCTGATTTAATTTTTGTATCTAGTTTACAGATAAAATCATCATTAGTTTCTTGTATGAGCGCCCCCTGTCTGTCGATGGGAGGCGCGTTAGTATTGGCATTTTTGCAGTTATTTGTATAAAGAAAATTGGTTACAACTTTTGCCTATATAATGTTATTTTTTGTAACTATAAAACACCTTATTTGCTGCTGTGTAGTAAAAGTTTTGCTGTTGAAGCCAGTTTTTCCTTCAAAGTTTAGTTGAGAAAAGGCTTGTATTTTTTCCTATGCTCCCTAATGTCTTTGAATGCGTCTCTGAATGCGTCCCACTCATGTACATATGTGAGATGTGGTGGTACTGCCCCCTAGCTTTGCTCTGTGGCTCTGCTCCTTCCCGGTGAGAAAAAATAAATAAAAAACTACGAGTACGGGAAGCCGGAGGGACAACTGCAGCGGCGCAAAGTGTTTTTATTTATCACAAGTTTTGCTTTTGGAGATAGAGCTACTGCAATAAACTGTGTCCATGTAAAGGCAATCGAGCTGTGGTTTCATATGAGTGCAATAAAAAAACAGGACTAGACCAAGACTAAACCAGGACTAAACCAGCTCTAAACCAGGACTAGACTGGGATTGAACCAGGTTTAAACCAGGACTGAAGCAGGACTGAACCAGAAGTAAACCAGGTCTAGACTGGGACTGAACCAGGACTGACTCAGGGACTAAACCAGGGCTAAACCAGAACTGAGCCAGAAGTAAACCAGGTCTAAACCAACTCTAAACCAGGACTAGACTGGGATTGAACCAGGTTTAAACCAGGACTGAAGCAGGACTAAACCAGGAGTAAACCAGAACTGAGCCAGAAGTAAACCAGAACTGAACCAGGGACTAAACCAGAAGTAAACCAGGGCTAAACCAGAACTGAACCAGAAGTAAACCAGGTCTAGACTGGAACTGAACCAGGACTGAACCAGGGACTAAACCAGAAGTAAACCAGGGCTAAACCAGAACTGAACCAGAAGTAAACCAGGTCTAGACTGGGACTGAACCAGGACTGAACCAGGGACTAAACCAGGGCTAAACCAGAACTGAGCCAGAAGTAAACCAGGTCTAAACCAACTCTAAACCAGGATTAGACCAGGACTAAACCAGAAATAAACCAGAACTGAGCCAGAAGTAAACCAAGACTAAACCCGGGACTAAATCAGAACTGAACCAAAACTGAACCAGAATTAAATCAGAACTAAACCAGGACTGAACAGAACTAAACCAGGACTAGGTCTGAACCAAGACTAAAACAGGACTGAACCAGGTCTAAACCAGGACTGAATCAGAAGTAAACAAAGACTAAACTTGGGGCTAAACCAGGACTGAACTAGGATGAACTAGAACTAAAGCAGGACTACATTAGGTCTGAATCAGGTCTAAACAGGTCTGGCCCCTGTGTGTCTTTGTTACATATTACAGTTTGTGGACTTTCTCAATTTTGACGTCAAGATTTGGAAATTCTTCTTACGAAATCAAACATTTTTATTCATAAATCCATGACTTCAACAAAGGAAAAAACACAAAACTCAAACAAAATAGTTTAGTTTCACTCACAGTTTTGTGAAATACATTAAAATCTGAAACTGTGAAGGGTTCATATAAACCAGGTCTAAAACAGGACTGAAGAGAACTAAACCAGGACTAGGCCTAAACCAGGACTAAACCAAAACTGAACCAGGACTGAACAGAACTAAACCAGGACTAGGCCTAAACCAGGACTAAACCAAAACTGAACCAGGACTGAACAGAACTAAACCAGGACTAGGCCTAAACCAGGACTAAACCGGAACTGAACCAGGTCTGAACTAGAACTAAACCTGAACTGAACAGAACTGAAGCAGGACTGAACTGGGACTGAACCAGGTCTGAACCAAAACTGAACCTGAATTAAATCAGAACTAAACCAGGACTGAACAGAAATAAACCAGGACTAGGCCTAAACCAGAACTGAACCAGGACTAAACCAGGACTAAACCAGAAGTGAACAAAACTGTAACTAAACTACAGCTAAATCATTACTGAACTAGGACTAAGCTTGGACTATATCAGGACTAAACCAGGTTTTATGTGTGACTGCTAGACTCTCTCAACCCTGAGTGCTCCACAGATTTATGGGAGGGCATCTGTGTGTTTGAGAACTGAGCTGCTCTCTACTGACCTCTGCTGGTCATTCGAATAGTTTCTGAAGAAAACCAGCAGAGAAACTTGGTAAGTACAAAAGATCTATTCTGCTAAATCGATTTTTCAGGGCTTTTAATCATGTTATAGATGTTTCACCATTTACTCAGCTGAAGTTGTATTTGCAGTGCATGTTTGAGTCATCTTTAGTCACTTATTTTCAAGATGCCATATTGATATACAATTATACATGCATCACGAATTTCGGACTTCCAGTCACTGCGCAATGCATACTGGGAAGGATATTCCAAAAAAGTGAGCATCAAACCACCATGTTTGTTTTCCCAGTGGGATGCGTCTATTGACAAAGTCAGTCTTTTCTAGTCTTTTGAACCATATTACTTTTGTTTCTGGTTCTGATATTGTCATATTTTAGTTTTGGGATTTGGACATTGTAATTGTGTGGTTGTTGGATGTCCTAACACTGGAAAACATCTTGAGTTTTGTTTGCGATCTTCATAACTGCAAAAGTGAATCAGATGTGTGTGACTGCAAACCTCTGTTCAAACTGTTTCCCTTCCCAACGGAACTGAAAAATAGTGAACATTTTGTATGTGGAGCATCATCAAAGTAAAATCCCGATCCCTCGCTCCACCTTGGTTACCAAAGCGCCAAAGCGAAAGGCACCAACTGTTCACCAAGAAACACCTTCCACTGCAAAGTGACCAAGACGTGATGTTGCAGTAAAACCACAAGAACAAGAAAGTCTGAGCTCAGTCTGTTTGTCTTCTGCACCTCTCACTTAACAAACTGGATCCCACTTTGTTGGTGCTCCACATACAAAATGTTCACTGCAAACTTGGGATGATTTAGGCAGTCAGAGGTTTCCTTTTTTGTCTTTCCTGTGGATCAATCCTGCCCATTGTCTTCACCTTTCACTATTTTTCAATTCCGTTGGGAAGGGAAACAGTTTGAACGGAGGTTTGCAGTCACACACATCTGATTCCCTTTAGCAGTTATGAAGTTCGCAAACAAATTTCTCAACCCATTTTCTAGTGTTAAGACATCCAACAACCACACAATTACAATGTCCTAATCCCAAAACTAAAATATGACAATATCAGAACCAGAAACAAAAGTGATATGGTTCAAAAGACTAGAAAAAATCTGCTTTGTCAATAGACGGATCCCACTGGGAAAATAAACATGGTGGTTTGATGTTCACTTTTTCGGAAAATCCTTCCCAGTATGTATTGCGCAATGACCGGAAGTCCGAAATTCGTGATGCATGTATTGCAGCTCAACTCCTACTTTCACTTCAAATCCAAACAGTTTTTGGAGCTATCCATCGGAGGTGCTGATTCTTTGATGTAAATGTTGTAAATGAAAGGTCAGTGTTCTGATATGGAAGTCACTGGAGTCGTTTCTTTTATTAATTCATTTAAGATGAATACTGTGATTTAAATTATGGCAGTTATAACATAATAATCCAAGAGTGTCATAGATTATAACTGTGTAGTATCATAGGCTCAAGCACAGTAGGTCTTCTTTAACCCCCTAATGCAACAGAAGAACTTTTAAATTTAAAGCTTTACAGTTATATATTTTGGTGTTTAAATTTCACCAACCAAAACTGAAAAAAAAAGTCAGGGCACATTTTTGGTTCATTTTGTGTTTTTATTAAAAAACTTTTCTACGTTTCAGTGAATCAAATAAAAAACGTCACGAACAACACGAAGAGGTGGAATGGTGTCTACAACAGCTCAGCCGCGCACGCACACACACAGCACGTGCACGCCCCTGCGCTCGTGCACGAGGGGCGCGCACGTGAGGGTCTCAGAGGAGCACCACACAAATCCAGCCCGACCACAAGACCAAGTCCGGGTTAAATCCTGGTCCTTCTTCAAAACCCCCGTTGTAATCTCAATTTTGAAACTCATCAAAACTAAACCAAGAAAGTTCACCTTTCTGTTCATTTAAAACTAATTTTACGTTACATAAGCGCTTTTTTTTAACTCCAAATTTAAATTTTATACAAAATAACATAAAATACAAGTTTCATATTTTTCCCCAAATAAACTCAACAGTGGATCTAAAACATCATTGTCACCTGTTACAATTTTTTCTCTTTTCCATAATTTGTGAAACGATAAACTTGCTGCGTAATCACTTTTTATCTCCACATTTAAACTAAGGATGCATCAATCCTGCTTTTTCACTTCAGATATCGAAACTGCCGATATTAACCGATACCAGTGTAGGGACAGAAAATGGTCTTTTTTTTCTCAAAATGCAGTTCAATTATACAAAATGTACCTACTGTTATTGTTTTATATAACTGTTATTTATCCTGCAAGTGGCTACAGAACAGTTTTATACGAGTTAAAGTTCAAACATTATGAGAAGTCTTGGGCCTGCATCAGTCAATAAAGAGTTTCAAATTAACAGCTCAACCAGAATATCGACTGAATCGATATCATTTTACGATACCCAATCCATCGATATCGGTATTCGTATTGGTGCATCCCTAATTTAAACACTATTCTTAACAAGATAAAATACAAGTTTCAGTTTTTTTCTATAAAATCCGTGGAACTAAAAATGCTAAAATTCACCTCTTTTTTTTTTCTTTTTTTTGTCAATAATTAGTGATATGTAACAGTTTCCTCTTTTTTCGTTAAATATTCATGATTCACACAATTTTTAAACCAGAAGTCCACAGCGTTCTCCAACCACTGACTACATATTTGGAAGATTTTAAGATACCACGTTTTCACTTTTTCCATTCGACACCATTCAAAAACCAGGGATGGGATGTGTAACTATCAAGTCCTAAGTCCTGGTTTAGTTCCAAGTGCTACTAAAAGTCCCCCGGTTCAGTCCTGTCCAGTCGGGTTTTGGTGGTGGTTCTGTGAGACCCGTCAGTCCTGGTCCAGATCCCGGTCCAGATCTACTCGTCGTCCTCCTCTTCTTCCTCTTCATCTTCTCCTTCGTCGTCCTCGTCTTCCTCTGGACCCTGAGCCGAAGAGCCAGGATTTCTGGCCAAAGTTCCTCCCCCGCGGTAAGCCACCATGTCCTACAGAAACCAGCGAAAACAGGTCAGAAACAAAGGCGCAAAGTCATTTTAAAGGGCCTGTATTACACTCTTTTCTGAGCTATGTTCTAATGTTGTTTCCTCATCACAAATAGACCTGGAGTTGTGTTTTGCTTCATTCACACCTTTAACACACACACCCTGCAGATTTAGGCTGAAGGCCACACATTCACTAGAATCATTTGGATAATTTCAGCCCTGGACTTGCCCATCTCTACTGAACTAAAGGTAAAAAGAGCTGCTAATTTGAAAACGACTGCTTCATGACATCATAACAATAAAGGATTACTCATTTGTGTGAGCTCCAGGTATGTTTTTGAGGATGTAACAGCAGTATAAGGGATTATAAGGGATCTGAGGGATTCTAGCATGTACAGGTAATTGTAAACCTTTTAAAATCTCAGGAGTTACTCTGTCTCATCTTTCTACACATACCAGAACTGTCTCTCCTGCTCTAATTCACCAAAGCTTTATAACAACTCAATAATAAATAATAAACATTTTTTCATACCTACTTTGTACTTCTACTTAAAGGAACCATGAGGAAGATATAATGTAGGCATGTTCAAATCAAATATGCATTTTACTGATAACAATTGTTAATACTGATTTATTCTTAATTACAAAAACACGACATGATGTTTCGTTTGTTTATGTTTGATACTTTGGTTCTCAAGACCATTATTCAACCAGAAAGCAGAATGAGCCTCACATGAGTCTGTCATTTGAGCTGCCAGTTTCAATGCTGAAACTGAGTGCTTAAACCTAAAATGTCTCTCTCTGATCTGAATGGTCACTGCCTAAACCACAGTGCTTGCAGCCAGTCATGAATCAGTGCTAGTGCAGCTTCTGCAGCTCACTGGGGGAATTCTGGAGGTTCTGAGGTCTGTTCATATACTAAGAATAAGAAAGGCTCTGCTCTGTACCCGGTCATATTTCTCCCGGAGTTTCTGGGCCTTCTCTTCGTACGGCTGCTTGTCGTTCTGTCCCAGTTTGGACCACATCTCTCCCAGTTTTTTAGCGCAGTCCCCGATGGACAGACCCGGGTACTGCTGCTTCACTGTGGGTCTGTACTCACCACAGAAGACGAAGAATGCAGACCTGCAAAGAGCAAGACCAAGACCAGGTTTAGAACAGGGTTATTGCAGGGTACGTCCAGGGTTTGACCTGGTTTAGATCCGGTTAGAGACTTGGTGCATTATTGACCAGTTTGAGTCCATTGACCTAGTTCCTGGTTTACTTTGTCTTATCACCATAGTAGTTCCAATGATAGTGATTAGCAAGCAGATTAACCAATCTGGCTCAATCTCGCTGAGATTTGGAAAGTCTTTTTCAAAGAACATACATAAGCACAGTGTGAACATGCAAACTGCACACATAGGCCCCTTGCTGGCTCCATGTCACCCCCCGCTCTGCTCTGCCATTATGTGTCAAAACAATCCTCTGGTTTCAAGTAAAAGTTCACACCTGTACTCCTGAGCTGACTGAAGCATCACGTCTGGAGAACATCACTCATGCCATTTTCACACTGACATTCAGGTCGATCTCAGGCCATTGTGAACCCAACAGTCAAACTCTGGACCATTCGCATTAAACAGAAGATCTCAGAGCAGCTCCTCTCTGGAGGAGGCAGCGTACGGTGTTAAAGATCAACTGATGCCTTTCACGTGGTTCATGGTGTTTGGGGTGATTCATGCATGGTGCAGTGAACAAGACCAACAAATAGTACAGAACAACAAAACTGAAGCTAATGCCACTGGGCCGCTCCACAGTGGGCATGAGTGAAAAAAAACGATTGGTGTCGCCATGTTTTGGATGCTTCACCTTTGACTCCACCCAAATCACAGTGCTGCCCTGTCACTGGTCCAGCCTCCAGCCCACTTCTGGCCCTGGCCCTTTCGCACCAGCAGGAGTCTGGAGCCAACATGGATTCTCCTGAGTTTGTGAACTCACAAATATTGCATGAAAAAATTTTGCTTCGCAGGGTCAGCCATCCTGGACCCTACGGCCTTTGAACAGAAAGTCGAAGCCATACCAGCTTGTCAAAAGCCTGATCCCGTCAGATCTCAGAAGCTAAGCAGGGCCGGGCCTGGTTAGTACTTGGATGGGAGACCACTGGAAATTCCAGATGCCACAATGGGGCACCAGTGGCATAAAAAAAAAAAAAAAAACAGTTGTTTTGTCCTTAGGCAAGAGACCTCACCTACATTGCCTAGTATGAAAGTGGTGTGTGCGTGAGTGTTGGTGGTGGTCAGAGGGGCCGATGGCGCAGATTGGCAGCCTTGCTTCTGTCAGTCTGCCCCAGGGCAGCTGTGGTTATGATAGTATCTCACCACCACTGAGTGTGGAGTGAATTAATAATGAACAGTAAAGTGCTTTGGGAGGCTTGAAAGGCTCTATATAAATGCAATGATTAATTAATTAAAAGTTGGAGGCTGTCTGACCAGGCTAGTCAAGTCTCAGTGTCAGTCCTGGTACAGACTCAGTACTCACGGTGGTCTCTTGGGGGCGTTGGGGTCTTTTCTCTTGCGTCCTCTTTTGCCGAAACCTTTTGGAGGGATGTAGTCCTTCATTTCACGGTTGTACCGGACTTTGTCGGCTTTGGCCATGTCCTCGAACACTTTCTTATCGGTGGGACTCAGCGCCTGGAACCAAGAGACCAGGTTTAGAATTGGACAGTTTATATAAAAAACTGCCCCCAACTAGGACCAGTCAGGACTTGACCCTCATAAACCTGTCCTGGAGCTGTATCCAAGTGACTTGCTCATTTGCCTACCAGAGTTTCCCTTACACTCTAAGTACTTTTATTAGCTTTGCCTCCATCTGAGAGAGGGACCCTGTGACACTAACCTTCCATCTCTCGGAGCACTTCTTGGAGAATTCTGCGAAGTTGACGGACTGTTCTGGGTTCTTTTTACGATGCTCCTCACGACACGTCTGAACGAAGAAGGCGTACGCCGACGTCTTCCCCTTCGGCTTGTTTAAGTCCTTTCGCATCATTCTGGAGGTGAAGGAGACAAGGAGTAGACAAGGAAGCATGAGGAGGAGACAAGGAAATAAGAGGAGGAGACAAGGAAGGAAGAGGAGGAGATGAGGAGCAAGAGGAGGAGATAAGGAAACAAGAGGAGGAGACAAGGAAACAAGAGGAGGACACAAGGACACAAGAGGAGAGGATGATAAAGGAGAGAGTGGGAGAAAGAGGAGGAGGGAGGAGAGGAGTCAGTAGTCTGAAAAACATCAGCAGCACTTTGCTTTATTTATCTGTATGACATTATTGATTTTCACGATGAAAATGTGTCGGTAGATTTTATATTATTTATAACTAAATGTCTGAGCACATGTATTTATTAGCCTCCTGGGTTTTCTTGGAGCATGTTCCTCCGTGTGTGGCGTTTTGGACAGTGGACGGGACAGGCTGGGGTCTGGAGAACAGAGGACAAAGGATCTGACGGGGATCCATTTTCCCTGGGACCCGCGGGCTGGGGCCCTCTTCCCGAACACTTTCTCCACTTTCACTGATGCGCAGCGCGGTCCAGCCCTCCCCGGGGCTCCGCCGCTCTGTGCCCGCATCTTCACTCCTCTTTCCGGGCTTCAGCCCCTGCGCCCTGACGCTTCTCTGGAGCTCCTCTGAAGCTAGCCCCGCTGCTAATGTTAGCCCCCGCAGAACAATGGACCACCATTTTCCCGCCGTTTGATGCGCCCCTCCCCCTCGGCAAAGCCAATATAAACATTAGAAGCGCATTACTACGGCATTTAAACTACACTTTCACTAGCGGCGCATTACAGGGAACAGACTGCACATCAAACGCAAGACAGGAGCGGTGTGAAGTGCTCAGGTGAGCCGCTGTCACATCCGCAGATGTGCTTTTTCAGGGCTCCTGGATCTCTGGAGAGGTCAGGCGGAGCGCACAGGACGACACTGTTTCCTGACCACAAAATGGGCGTTCCGTGTTTACAGCGGCAGCCTGGCACAGCCATGGGAGTATGGGCACAGCGCGACCCAAACACACGGAGAGGCGGTGATCCAGCGGGACCAGAGCTCAGATCCGCCTCGCTCTGGCCTTCACCAAAAAGCGGCCATTTTACCCCGCTTTGGAGCACCCTTCTCCGCTGGGGCTGCTGTGAGACCCCCGTGCAGACAGCCGCCCGGAGCGCAGCGGCGCGTAGTGCGAAACGGACGCGGGCAAAGAGCGCTGAGGACGGGGTACTCACGTGTCGGGAGGACCGGCTGGAGCTGCGGCAGTAGCGGGGCTTGGCCGGGTTTACTGCCGGGGTTTGGGGCTCTGTAGCGGGCTGGTGTTGTTGTTTGAGGCTGGAGCAGGAGACTGGGGGAGCAGAGGCACAGCGCAGACCCGCCCCGCGCTCCTCCCCGCTGCAGCTGCTTCCATTCAGGGGGCGGGGCAGTGGGCACGGCTTCCTCACGCTCCCGCCTCTGATTGGCTGGGGCGGGAATCGAGAACTACAATAGGGCGGGGTTTGTAGAATATACTTCTGTGATTGGTTATTAGATATGCGTGACAGAGCGCTAGGCCAATCAGGAGTGAGAAGGCAGAGATAGGGATGCGGTTTAGAATTTCCATCAAAACAAATCACTGCTTCTCGCACGCAGTTCGTCTTAATTATTTACTGCAATCAGCTGATTTAACACGTTTCAGAATTTATTCATAAAGAAATTACAACTCAACCAGGGACCTCTTTTTATAAAACAGGACCAGAAATACTTAGCTGGTGAATTATTTGATTTAACCTGTGTCAAAGACTGTTACATGCATAATTAAAGGGCCCAAATTACACTATTTTCTGATGTATGCTATAATGTTGTTTCCTAATCACAGACGTACTTGTTTTTTGTTTTTTTTCCATTCTTACATGTTTAACACACAAACCCTGCAGTTCTTCTCTCAAACACAAATCACACACAGTTCCACCTTGTGATGTCATGTGATAATACAGGAAGTGCTCTACTGTGTTTTTAAACTCCATACACCTTCAATAGAACCATATGGATAATTTCAGCCCCCGGAAATGCCAATCTGTGAGAAACTAAAGGTAAAAGGAGCAGCTAACTTGAAAACTACCACTACATGACATCACAAGTTTGAATAGAGCATTTCAAGCTTTGGAGAAGTAGACAGACTAATAATAAAGGATTACTCTCACTCATGTGTGAAAACAAACACACAAACAAACAAACAAACAGGGTATGTTTTTAAGGAGGTGACAACATTCAAGAGTTAATTTTATGTAATATAGGACCTTTAAAGTTGCACTATGTAACATTTTTGAGGGGCCACCACTGGCTTGTCTGAAAATAATATATGGATGAATTGAAGAAACAAAAAACGGTTTATGCTGTTTAAGTTTAATAGTACATTGTGAATAGACATTTCAAAGGATAGGCAGACTTCTTTAAATATATCACAGTAAAACAGTTTCTTGGTCTGGGAGCTTTTTCATTTGATTGGTCAGTCATTCTGTTAGTAATGTCTTTTATATTTGTTACTTCTTCAAAATGGCTTCATACGGAGTGGAAAACGGAGGCAGCTGATTGTTCAGTTGGTCACGGTGTGGGAGGGACATCACCTTCCAAAACGGCGGAGATTTTTGAAACTAGTTCCTTAAAAGACGGACGTTTATCTGGTCTCTGAAAGCAAAACAGAAGATATAAGAAAATGCGCAAAAAAATCGACAAATTATTTTACATATTTTAAAATTTTAATTGTGATTAATTAAATTTTTGGGATCAATTAACTGCAAAAAATATTACATGGTTAAAAGTACAGCTGATTTAGGAAAAAATAGGTATAATAAGTGTCAATTCCTTTCTTAAAACTTGTTTTTGGATTTGATTTTTGTTTTTTCCCTCCTCTCCACTAAAAATGTTTTGTGAACTACAAAAACAAAAGGTCCAAACTGAAAAGACTGTATTCAGAAGTTGTCATATTTAAGCCACTGGGGAAATATTTTATGAATGAGAAACTACTGCATTAAACATACAGCCCCAACATTTACATAATTTGACGTCTCTGATTTTAGAACACTTCATGGCCCTGTGCTGTACTCCGCTCACTGACTTTCTTGCATTTTCAGTGTAATTTCCAAAGCAAGAAATTGGGAAAAATAAAAGTTTATTTTCTTCCAAACGAATTGATTTGAACTTCAAATTCGATTAACTGATTTTATTGATTTAAAAATATATTTCTAGGAAAAAATGCATAAGCTTTTCTCTACAAGGATTGCAATTTGAAAGAAATCTATTAGTAAAACAGAAATGATAAAGTTCACATTTTAAATGTGTCCAGAAGAATTGCCAAAAAGACTGAAATCTGAACTAACAAACTAATACAAGAAACACATTTGAGAACATTGTACAGATCTTAACTACAGGGTTAGATGTTTTTATGCAGAATAAAACAGGAGATTTTATTGTGTGGAGGAAATTATGGTACTTTAAAAATGGCAGCCTTTGCCATTTGCCTATTACTCCATTTAAACTCTGATTTTGATTCATTTGTGATAAATTTTGCATCTGTTATTAAAAGTTAAACTCAATCCAGTGTAGAAGTTTCAGAGGATCAGGTCTTTTCTCACCTCATGCCAGCACTTTTGCATGATGCCGTAGATTGTTTCTGATGCCAGTTTGGGCCGGTACAGGCGGTGACCTTTCATCACCATGGATACGACTTCGTGGTTTGAGTTCTGTTCAAACGGCATACGGCCCTCGGTGAAGACCTCCCACATCAGCACACCTAAGAAAACAGAAAACCATGTAAGCTCTGAATCCAGTGTCTTTCAGTAAGGGCATGAGTAAAATTAAGGCTGCATTATGTAACTTTTCTGGTGGCCATCTGCTTGTCTCCATGGAGATATTATTGCTTTACTGGAATGCTCCATAGCATTAAAGTGCTTATGACAGTATTTAACGATTCTCAAAATTCTCCTTAATTTGGTGGGGATAATTATGAAAGCCCATTTCCATCAGTAAATAAAAAATAAAAGCCTCACAGGAAGTCATAAGTACAAGTTTAAAAGTCATAACTATGACTAAAATCCAGCCCTTGCACTCATAGAACCAAAGTTACGTTAATGTAACCTGAGTTTCTTTGTTCCAGGTAGAGTTTTAGAAGCAGACTACTTTCTTTTCTGTTCCTATGTGTTTTATATCTGTGTAATCCTTCAGTGGTGCATGTAGGTTCTATAGTGATCCATGGGCGTATACTAGTCTATGTGCTCTTATACTTGTTCTGAAACTGCTCAAGTTCATTCTAAAGCTATTCAGGAAAGCGTCATTTCTGTCCTGTCAATGTGACTTTTTTAGTATTGATTCTTGCATGAATGAGTATCTAGTTTCAATAGTAGTTTCAGTATCCACATTCAATATTTGAGAACTTTGTTTACTTGGGAGTAAAACACGTTGAAGGTTCTAAACTGTGCTCTGTTTTCATCCTCACCAAAGGACCACACGTCTGACTTGCTGCTGTATTTGGAGAAGCTGAAGACCTCTGGAGGAGACCACTTCACCGGGAACTTGGCTCCAGATGAACTGGTGTACTGGTCATCCAACACGTATCTGAAAACAAAACATTACACTATCAGTCAAAAGTTTGGACGCACCCTCTCATTAGTTTTCTTTATGTTTACTACTTTCTACATTTTATATACATACAAAAGACCTCAAATATATGAAGCAAGATACATGGCAAGAAAAAAGTCAAATAACTCAACTAAACATAAAAATAAATATATTCAAAATAAATATATTTTAAATTAAAATCTATCTATCAAACTATCCACCCTTTGTTTTGTTGACAGTGCTGCAAAGCCAGGACCAATTTTTGATGAAGTCTCCAGAAATGGTTTTCACTAAAACCCTTAACAAGCCCCTGTGGTCTTTGGCCCCAGTCACAGTCCACGGTCAAAGAGGATTATAAAATGATGAGTGCAAACCTGGTCATGCCAAAATCGGACACTTTCACAACCATAGAGTCGTTCACCAAACAGTTCCTGGCAGCCTGAAAGAAAAAAATAAAGATGCATAAAGATTTTGGCTTTCCTATGTGGGGGATACCATCTGCTGGTCTTCATGGAGATGTCATTGATTTGGCTGGAATGTTCCACAGTGTGGTATTAAACTTATCTATCCTAAATTTATTCTATTACAGGTATTTTTATTCCTCAAAAATGAGCGGGCTTTCCTCCTCACGGATCCAACCTGTAACTTGAAAAGTCACAAGTTACAAGTCAGGTCTGTGGAGACGTATTTTAGCAAAGAGAATACCTCCAATGAGTATTATTTATTGTCTGAAATGTCCCGCACTGGTGCTTTAAGGCTCATTTATGCTCCACTTTCCTATGTAAAAAGATCAGTGTGTTCTAAGTATAGTAATCGTGCCTGCATTTATACTTCCAAATGTTTCTAATGTCAAGGCTGTGTTCTGTTAACTAACCACCAAAGGGCGCTAAAAGTCAGTTTGAGAATTGACCAAAACGGAAAAAACAGAGCAACAAATAAATCCATGCAAATATTTTGCATGGATCTATTAAAATAACGATAGGGTATTGTTTGCTTAGAGCTGTCGTGTGTTGACTTAGTGGCCACTCACTGGAACTACAGCGAAAAAATCCCTCCTGCCCTGAAAGGATTTTTCCCAGAGCGCAATGTAATCACAAACTGCTCGTGTTTGGCTTTCAAAAAGGTCATATTTTGTGGCGATTTTTACTTATTTTCAAATCATATTTATTTCTCAGCTCAAAATCCTTCAGTTGTCTTAAAAATTGCTTTTTAATCATTAGCTAAAGGCCAATTTGGAGACATGCACTACTGAGCTTGGCCCACTGACTTGAATGGGTGACTGTGATTAGGCCCTGAGCCAAGAAAATGAGGTGAGGGAGACATGTATTTGTCTTGCACCTGGTTCTTTTTTTCAAGTTTAGTTTCCACTGTCAAGCTATGTTCACTACTGCCCCACTTTATTGTACCAAGTCTCTGTGGATGAAGCGGTTCTTTTCCAGGTACTCCATGCCCTGGCACACGTCTAGAGCTGCACTGAGGAGCATGTCCTTGGTCTGGCTCCCTCTCTTCTGCCTCAGCACGTTCAGGAGGCACCCCATCTCCATGAACTCCGTCACGATGTAGATAGGCCTCTGCTGACTGCACACGCCATACAACTGCACCAGGCGAGGGTGGGAAAGACGCCTGGGGACACACAGGTGAGGATACAGTATCTTTAGATTATTATTTAACATAGCTTTAAGAATTCTATTTTCAGTGTATTTCTCTTTTTTGGCTTCTACCAAACTCATTCACAAAGACAGCTGTTGTACATATGATGAAACAATAGGCCACATCATCTTAAAGGTCTTATACTGTGCAAAACTGACAACTGGCAATTGATTGTGAGCCATGTTATAATGTTACCTCATCAAAAACATGCCTGGAGTTGTGTTTTGTTTCATTTTCACATGTTTGAGTCACCTACATCGTCTACATCTCCAAAGGTCTAAATGCTCTGTTCCACCTTGTGATGTCATGAAGCAATAGTTTTCAAGTTGCAACTACTTTTTAGCTTTTGTTTAGTAGAGATTGGCAATTCTGGGTCTGAAATTATCTAAATGATTCTAGTGAAGGTGTATGGAGTAAAAAAATAAATAAATACAGTGGAGCACTTCCTGTATTACCACAAGAGATTACAAGGTGGAACTCAGGTGAAATATGCAGGGTTTGTGTGTTAACATGATTGATAAGTTTCACTTTCAGTTTTGACAATGAGTTTCCCTTCCCTTTGCTCTCCACGCTAAGTCACTCCCCCTTCAGAGCACTATCACAACACAATCAGTGTGCATCCCACTAATGAAACTAAGTTGTTGTGTGCAGTTTTGTATCATGTTTTTGTAGATTTATGGAGAACTGTCGTGTGGGAGCATGGGTGATTTAAGCTTGTGGGCGGAGCCTTGTACAGAATCTTACAGCTAAATGTGAGGAGGGTTTGAATAGGGCCCGAGAGAGATCGCTAAATTTCTCAAACTGCATGACATCTAAAAAAACTTGAGGCATGTTTTTGATGAGGGAACAATGTTATAACAATAGTAGTAGTAGTACTAGTAGTAGCAGTAGTAGTAGTAGTACTCACATCATGACCTTGGCCTCCTCGATGAAGTCCTCCTCGTACATGGCTCCTTCTCTGATGGCTTTGATGGCCACTTTGTGCTGAGCTCTCCATTTGCCCAGTCGCACCTGCCCAAACTGCCCACAGCCCAACTCCTTCATGAAGGTCAGCTCACTCGGGTTTATCTCCCACTTCTCTGCAAAACAACAACAACAATATTTAGACAGTGTAAAAGAAACACGTATCACCAATCAAACTGTGAATAAAAAACCCGGATCATATCAGAAGATTCAGGGTTTAGTTTTTGAGTCTGACCGTAGCTGAAGCCGGCTGTAGAAGGAGCAGATGTGTCTTGTTTTCCTACAGAATACCTCAGTCTGGCAACAAGACCTGGAAAAGGAGTCAATGAAAGGAAAACATTTTAGTATATATATATATATATATATATATATATATATATATATATATATATATATTTTTTTTTTTTTTTTTTTTTTTTATTTAAAAGTCCTATATTACACAAAATTGACTCTTGTGAGCTTTAAGCCATGTTGTTACCTCCTCAAAAACAGACCTGGAGTTGTGTTTTGTTTCATTCACACGTGTTTAAGTAACTCTTTATTATTAGTCTGTCTCCAAAGCTCATAATTCTCTGTTCAACCTTGTGATGTCATGAAGTGGTAGTTTTGAAGTTAACAACTCCCTTTATGTTTTATTTAGTAGAGATTTTAGTAAAGGTATGGAGTAGAGCACTTCCTAAATATGCAGTATTTGTGTGTTAAACATCTAGGGATATATTTTTGACAAGGAAACAAAATTATAACATAGATCAGAAAATAACATAATATGAGTTCTTTAAAGATGCACTGTGTAACTTTTCTGGTGGGGAGATGTAATTGCAATGCCTATAATCACTGTTGGGCAAGTTACTTTAAAAGTGTAATGTGTTATTTATGATTTGTTACTGTCATTTCAAAGTCATTTGTTACATTACAATATTACTGTATTTAAAATGTAAGACATTACACGACTATTGCAGGACTTTTAAGTTACTCTCACCAAAATAACTGTGAAGATGCTGAACTTTTGCACCATATATGGATTGAAACAGAATTAAACCAGGACTAAATCAAAACTGAACCAGAGCTGAACCCGGACTGAACCAGGACTAAACCAGGACTGAACCAGGACTAAACCAGGACTAAACCAGGACTGAACCAGGACTAAACCAGGACTAAACCAGAACTGAACCAGGACTAAGCCAGGTCTAAACCAGGACTAAACCAGGTCTAAACCAGGACTAAATCAAAACTGAACCAGAGCTGAACCCGGACTGAACCAGGACTAAACCAGGACTGAACCAGGACTAAACCAGGACTAAACCAGAACTGAACCAGGACTAAGCCAGGTCTAAACCAGGACTAAACCAGGTCTAAACCAGGACTAAACCAGGTCTAATTCAAATGATCTATCTTGCATTTATTTCGGGAAAACATGTTGTCGTAATATAAGTGTGGTCACCTCTCCACAGATATGACCTGTAACCTGGTGGCTTCACCTGCTTAATGCCTTAATACTGTGGATCATTCCATGCAAAGAAATAACATCTCCATAGAGACAACCAGCCAAGGTCAGATCTGTGGAGAGGTGACCACGCTCACAGTAAGATTGCATGTCTTCCAAAGTAATACGCATTAAAATAAATGCTAGATACTTTTATTGCCATACTGTGGATCATTCAAAGCAATAACTTCATGGAAACCAGGTGGTAGACTCAGAAAAGTTCCACAGTGCTGCTTTATCACGTTACCTGCGGCGTTGTGCTTGTGGTACTCGATCAGGTCTGGGATGTTGGAGAACAGGTGTTTTTCGGCCAGGTAATACTGCTTTGGTGAGCCTGAGGTTTCTTTTATGTGGTAATGTTTGATGGCAGAACCGCCGTCTCTGAAAAACAAAAACACAACAACAGTCTTGACAGAGCCTTAGGACTATATTATACTGTATAGATAAAAAACATTGAAAACACATCACAATGGAGGTGTTCTACATGTATGTCTATGGCGGAATGTTCAGTACCGTAATGACACGATAACACATTAGTAACGACTGTCAAAAAAGTTTTAAAGGGATAGTTCAGAATTTTTGACACAGGGCCTCATTTCCTAGTGAGCCAGAGTGCTGTAGGTATGTGGAGACACTTTTTGAAATAATCCATCCAGTCCTTGTATTTGGAGAGGTTGTTGATGCTAGGCTAGTGCATGTCTATGGCCACTGTTAGCCTGCCACTAAAAACAGTCTTACCCACTTCACAGTGTGCCCGAAGCAAATCTGTTATTACACCAGATTATCAATGTAAATGTCTGTGTCAATAGAATAATTTTAGAAGTAAAACTAACTTTGTATCACATGAATCGTTGCATGTTGAGGGACTATTTTCTCAGCAGCAGCAGAATTTTACTCTGCTCTATTTACTTGTGATGACATGAACGTGGTCATAACTGGAACAGGCTTCATCGTGTGCTCTATGTGTCGCTATGGCAACTGCAGGTAAACAAACTATTACAAAGCCAGTTGGTGCTAGATGATATCAGTCTGCCGCTGCCGAGCTTTCTATCAGGAAATACACCTCGCTGCTGCTGCTCACACATAAATCCTTCAAATGCAAGGTTAGTTTTATTTCCAAAATTATTCTATTGACACAGACATTTACATCGACAGTCTGGTGTAGTAATAGATTTACCTCGGGTGCTTTGTGGAGTGGGTAAGACTGTTTTTAGTGCCAAGAATTCCCTCATAGTAAGTGCCTAAACCAAATTTTGAACTACAGATCTATTTAAAATGACTAAACAGACTGTCCCACATTAATAAATATGTGTAATATATAAATATAATGTTTCTGAGAGCATATTTTTGTAGTTTTACAACACTCGTTTTTGGAGAAAAACATCAACTATCACAAGTATCATAGTCCTGTTTTACAAAACACCTAAAAACATAAAAGCCATTATGATTTTTATATATTATTGCATTTGAAAATGACATGAATATTCTGGAACTGTTGGAATTTATAATATATCAATGTTTATCCACTGCAGCCATTATGCTTATTTCAAACTAGTCAGTGCATTCAGAGCAGTGGTAGGAAACTTTGTGTGTGTGGGACTTGCATCTGTGTTTCCCACATTTGCAACAGGTTGTAGCTGTTTTGCAGTTCTTCTTTGCAGGGCTTAAGGTGCATCTCCTTCTCTTCTGTGCCCTTGTCTTGGTTTCTGATGTGACTTCTTGATCAGGGTCAGGTTCAGATCACTGCACTGGCCTCTCCAACGCTGATGAAGCTGCTGTGTGGGTAAGCTGGTGTCACCTTTGCATACAGGGAGTCACAAGGGCCTTTCTAAGCTCCTCCAGAAAAGAACCTCCTCCAGTTCCTCCTGCTTGCCCTCCAGGTTCAGCTCACTCCATAGACAAAGCGGGCCAGCAAAGCTGGCCACTGGGAGGTTCTGCTCTTGCAGCTGTGCCTGTTACTTTGTCAAGGTTTTCCACTCCTCCTTGTTGGCATTGTAGTCAAGGATGATGATGGAGCTCCCAGGAGCTCACCTCTGCAGCCATATGTAATGTGCTCATAAGGATGACAGTCTTGTTCTTCTTTTACATGTACGAGACAACTGTGGTGTCCTGGGTGAACTTAGTCAAACTTTGAAGAAAAGATCTCTCTCTCCCACTTGATTGACTTATGTTTCTTATGTGCTCCATAAACAGGATGATCACTCCTTTCACTGTTTTGAGATTCTCCTTTGCCGCTCCAAAAACCAACAGTGAACTCTTGAACTCTGTCACCTACTGTGCCATAAAATAAAAAATACACACAAACATGGTCTGTGCAGTTTCACAGTTTCAAGTTTCTCTAAAACTTCCATTTTGCTTCATTTGACCTGCACTGATAGAGCTAAAATCCATCTTAATAGATACGGGTCAAAATTAACCCGAAACAGCCTCAGTGTCGCAAAATTTGTAGCACCTGTACAAAAGTATAAAATTTAAAAATATTTTCATTTTTGTGTATTTTGGCAAGATTTAGGAAAAGTCATCAAATTTCAGGATAAAAGAATGATGTTTAGGGTATTTTTTCTACTGTTGAATCAAAACGGGTCAAATTTGACCCCAACAGTATGTAAGGGTTAAGTGTTTGAAATAAAGCTTAGATTAGGTCTAATGTGAGTAACAGTCAGAGTAGTGCTTCAGGTAGTTTCACACCCCCAGCGAATGTTGATAACATCAGCTGCAAAGTATCACTTGCAGACTAAAAACAGGTTCATTTTGTGTTTCTCACCCGAGGCACTTGGCGTATACAGACACTGTGTAGGCCCCAGCTGTGCTCGAGTCTCGGACAATGAACGCTCCCTCTTTGTCCTGTAGGGGGCGACACAACGCAGCAAATATTAAATGAGGAGAAGTAGATTTTATTCTTGAACAAAATCAGTTTTACTATTGAATGGTGCTTTGCCAGATATGTTCCAAAGTATGGCATTGACTTATGTATTCATGCACATGCGTTTTTATTGCAAAAACAATCTTAAAGAACATTATGTACTGTAAGTTGGCTTGTTTCTCCATAGATCTGACCTGTAACCGGGCACCTCAATCACAGTAAGAATCCATGTCTTCCAAGGTATATTTGAGCAAAAAAACACATGCAATAAACTAAATGTTAGATACTTTTAATGGCCTACTGTGGAACATTCTAGGCAAGGAGGTTGGCTCTACTAGGTTTAAAATTGGACAGAAAAGTTACACAGTGAAGCTTTAATGAACAAAACAGACCTCTTCCCTAAGTAGTGCCTCGGCTTTGTTTCGGTTCACTTGTTTACTGTACCACCTAAAACACAAAACACAGGATTCAATCATTATTAATATGTAATTATATGTAATTACAAGCATTAAATGGCCCATAATACGCTCTTTTCTTTTCTTTTTTTCTATTATCTATCTATATAATGGTATCACATGACATGATTGACATGATGGCATGAGCTTTAGACACTGTACACACCCTCAGCTGCAAAGTTTGAATAGAAAGGACTCACACAAACTGCTCCAGGTTTCCACATTTCTTCTCAGTCACATAATTACTTGGTATGTAGCCCTCCTCCCTGTGAAAAAAAACAAAACAAAAACATTTGCTCTAGGTATGATATGATATATGATATTATTATATATAGCCCCTTTTAACATATTGATTTTGTGGTGTGATTGGAAAATACATAGATCGTGAGCCTTGTCAGTAATATAAATGAGAAGACTTTGGGACAAAATAAAGAAAAAAAAAATAAACAGAGGGAAAAAAAACTAAATACACTGTGGTCATCAGAGAAAGGTATTTTTGTTTTGTTTTATTTTATTTTATTTGGAGGAGAGGACTCAAGGAGGAGGAAGCGAGGAAAGAGAAATGAGACGCAGTCAATAAGTTACACAATGCAGCCATAAGTAGTCTCATTTCTCTCTCTCTAGATCTCAATCAAACATGTCACATTAAGCGGTGTCCTGAAGAAAACCACGGAATGAAGGAGTAAACCTGAGGGAAGCTTCAGGAGCAGACATTAGAGAAAAGAATCAAACTTTATCGGCCTCAGTGAGTCTCTCTTCGCTGTGTCTCCTCTGTGGGCGGGACTTCCTCACTCATTTCTTACAAAATCGAGGAGAGGAATCAAGGAGAAGGAAGCGATGAAAAAAGAAATGAGAGAGTGGAGAGGGTGGGGAGATAAATGGTAAGAGGTGGAGGTTAGAGTGTGGATTGGGCCGATTTTTTTTCTGTCAGAGCGTGGCCCGCGTCCGACAGAGCAGTGATCGAATCCGACCCGAGCCCGATAGACATTAAGATATCTCTGTCCGAATTCAACCGACCCTGACACAATTAAAATCATACTATTTTCATAGGCCGACTAATGACATGCGTAGGATATTGTTTGTGTGGCCTCTAATGGACACAAGCTTATATAGGTATACAGTATAATGAAAATAATGAAGATTTTATTCCTCGCCTCTCTTAAAGTGGTAAATTTAAAGTGCAGCGTCTCTCACACATTGTCCATAGAAATTATTCTCTGCAAATAACGACATCCAGTCCACAGAACCATGCTATTAATAGAGTTTGAGGCGTTCCTTGAAAGTAAAATGGCAAGAGTATTTTCGCATGTGTGTCTGTTTATATCCACACAGAGGACGCATCAAGGTGAAGCTGCAGTTTAGCGATAGTGACTCTACTTCCTGTGTACTTTACTGCCAATCTTTTTTGTTTTAAAAATCATGTATCTGAAGTACTGCACCACATTTCACAAATAATAATAACACAGTATGACTTGTATCTTACCTAGAAGTGCAGTGCTCTGATCTTTTGAACACTTAAGAGTCTCAAAGCGAGTCGTTTTACTGTAGATAAACAAATATTACAAGTCTGTACTTCTTTCTAGAGTTGTCCTGATCCAATCACATGATCGGAAATCGGCGCCGATCACGTGACTGCGGACTTGATCCGGACTCGGCCATTATCTGCCAATCAGGTATTGGATAAATAATATACGTATATAACACACAGCGCACACGGGACACACAGAACACAACAGTTTTTCTGAGGCGCGGGATTTGCTCAGGGACGTCCAGTCAGTGCGATTATAGGCCCAACGCCTGCTGTACTAGAGGCGCACTTAAGATGGGACTTTTGGGCCATACTGTACATGAGCGCTGTTGCCTGGGGTTCTGTGGCCCGTGTATCACACTTGCGTGGCCGATGGCGTCATCGGACTGCGCTGTTTGTTGCAAATAAAACAAACTGGCACTATTGGCGGTGAGGGTCCGTCCAGCTGCATGAAGTGTCTATTGAGTGGTGGGACCGATGTTGCAGTGCGCGCTCCATGGCGGGTTTGTGGATGTGGTGCGGCCAGGGGAGAGAGGCTGTGGGGCTTCTGTCATCTCGTTTTTATTTGGTAAGATTTTGTATTATTTGGAGATCATACACAAGCCTAAATGTTTTAAATGTAATGCTCATGCCTCCATATAATATCAAATATACAAAGTGTAGATTGTGCAGAGTCTCAGGTTTGATCTGATTCTGGTCTGGTTCCTGTTTTGTTCAGTTCATTAAGTTTACTGAGTTACACATTCCAAGACCAGACTATGAAAAAGTCAAGATTTTCAACAACGATGGTGAATGGTTAGAAAAGTTATTTAAAAAAATTAAAGTTTTGGACATTTGAAGTTCAGCCCAAATACTACACATTGAAATCAACACAATCTGACCCCCCCCCACACACACACACACACACATATCCTGGATCTTATTCTTTGCTCTTAGTTCATTTCATGATGTTTTATAGAAGTATTGGATCGGGACTCGGTATCGGCAGATACTCAAAATCAAAGGACTCAGACTCGGGGACATCCCTACTTCTTTCTGCTCCTTTTCATTCACATTGATGCATGAAACATAATTATTTTTTCATGAACAAAAAAACAAATAAAAAAATAAATAAACTGTAGACAGGAAGCAGCTGACATGTTGATGTGTCCAAATCCGACCCAAGCCCAAACATAAGTTCTAAATATTTGTCCGAGTCTGGGTCCTGTCAGACTTCGGTCAGGTTTCCATGCTGAAAGAAAGAGAGAAACTTAGAGAAACAGAGGAAAGGGGAGAAAAGAAGGAGGAGAGATGAAGAGAGTTAAGGAGCGAGAGAGACGGGGAGAGAGAAACGGTGAGAAAGAGGGAAGGGAAAAAGTGAAAACAGAAAAAGTCACGGCCCCTGTGTATCTGACCCAAACTGCACTCGCAAGACTACACCTGCAGGGGGAGCTCATACAAAAGAAACGACTACTTACGCAGAAGAACGCGGCATTAACCGAGCAAAGACGTCTCACTCACCCGTACTTGTTGCGTGCTTTGTACCAGTTGACGTCGCATTTCTCCACGATGATGTACTCCTCGCCCTTCTTCAGGCTCAGGTCGTGAGGTTCGGCCCCGGGGAAATCGTAAAGGGCCACCACCGTCTCCTGCTGCGGCTGCTGAGGAGGAAGAGGGGGAGGGTCTGAAGAGGGAGGGACGGGGGCGGGCGGGGCCGGGCGACGCTGGGGGGAGAGGGAGAGGAAAGAGTTAAGGAACGAGAGGGGGGAGAGATCGGTGAGAGAGAGAGGAAGGAGGAGAAGGAGGATCAAGAGGAAGGGAGCGAGAGAAAAATGGAGAGAGAAAGATGGAAAGGGACAGAGAGAATAAGGAGAGGGAGAGGAAGAGAGGAATGGGGGTAGGAGAGAAACAGAAACAGGTGAGAGAGAGGGGAGGGAGAGAAAAATAAGGAGTGCAAGAGGGAAAAGAGGAGAGATAGAAGTTGAGGGTAGAATGAAAGACAGGCAGAGAAAAGGAGAGAAGAGAAGGGGGGAGAGAAACAAAGAAACAGGTGAGAGAGAGTGGAGAGACAGAGAAGAAGATGATGGATGTGGGGAGATGGACAGAAGGAGTGGATGGAAAGGAGGTGAGGAGAGAAAGGGTGAGAGAGGGGAGGGAGTTTAGAGGAGAGGAGGGATAGAAAGAGAGAGACAGAGAGAGCGGGGAGGGAAATGGTGAGAGAGATGGCGGTATAGAAAGAAAAAGAGAAGTACAGAGAAATAGATGAGAGAGGAGAGGGAATGGAGAGAGTTTAGAAGAGAGAGGGAGTTGAGGAGGGAGAGAGAGAGAGAAGGGAAGGAGGAGTGAGAGGGGTTGAGGGTAGAGACAGAGATAGAGAGCGGGAGAGAAAGAGCAAGGGGGAGAGAAGAGAGGGATGGGGGAGGAGAGAAACAGAAACAGGTGAGACGGAGGGAGAGGCGAAGAGAGGGGGATGGAGGGTGGAATCAAATGACAGGACAAGGAAGAGAAAGCAACAGGGAGAGGTGGGAGTTGAGGGAAGAGAGAAAGAGAAAGTGAGAGCAAGAAAATGGGGAGAGAAGGATGGAAAGGAGGAGACGGACAGAAGGGGCGGAGGGAGATAGAGAAAGAAGGAGGAGAGGAAGAGAGAGGGAGGGAATAGATAGATAGAAAGGGAGAGAGAGTGAAAAAAGCAAAGGAGGGAGGTGGGAAAGAGTTATAAAGAGACAGTGTTGGGAAGGTTACTTTTGAAATGTAATCCCCTACAGATTACAGATTACACAACCCAAAATGTAGTTTGTAACGTAATCCATTAAATTACTTAAAGTGAGTAATGTAATCTGATTACTTTGGATTACTTGATATTGTCATGTTTTTTTAAATGACATGAATGTAGCAACCACATCCTCAAAATTCTTGTTTGTTGTCTTCAAATTGTCTGAGCCCAAGTCTCCATGAATAAACAACTGTTTGCTGTAGAGAAACAAAGACCACGAGATCTTAATATAAGAGGTTTAGTCTGTTAAAAGACAGTAACAAGATAAGCTTTTCATTCACCATATTAAAAAATATTATTGATAGAGAAATTATTTTTTATATGAGATCACCTTAAATTATGTCAACCTACTGTTAGGTGTCATGTTGTTTAGACCTGGTTTAGTCCTGGTTTAGTCCTGATTTTAGACCTGGTTTAGACCAGGTCTAGACCAGGTCTTTACTTCTGGTTTAGTCGTGGTTTAGTCCTAGTTTAAACCTGGTTTAGTCCTGGATTAGTCCTGCTTTAGTCCTGTTTTAGTCCTGGTTTTAGTCCTGGTGTTAGTTCTGGTTTAGAGGCGCACAGGAGGAAGCGCGGTTTACGCGAGAAAACACGGTCCACACGCGGCGCACGAGACGGCGGTGTCCGCGCTGTAACTACGGAAGGAGACGTGGTCCGCGGGTTCTCAGGTTGATGACGATGATGAAGGTGTGTGTTTGTGTGTGTTTGTGTGCACGTCCACTCATGTCCCAGGTCATTATAGGACAGTAGTGCAGATATTATGAGTCTATGCAGGTTGTTTTCACCGGTGCCAGTAGCTCCTGTTTCACATTTAAGTTGTAGGTGATTTTATATTTGTTTTTTTTATATATATATCTCACATCGGGAGAAGAATTTCCAAGACACAAATGCGTTTTTACCAATGCACTGCTGCTTCCACTGTGTGACTGACACCGCCAACTTTAACATGACGTTTACATCGCTCTTATTGCGCGCGTTCTGTTTGGGTTTCCGGCAATGAGTGGAATTACCGAAATAAAAAAATAAATAAATGGGATGTAGCACAAAATGTGAAAACAGGAAAATACCGCCTTGTAATCCACTTATTTCAGCAAAGTAACTGTAATCCAATTACCACTCATTGAAACAGTAACTGTAACGGAATACAGTTACTCATAATTTGTACTCTGATTACGTAACGGCGGTACATGTAATCCGTTACTCCCCAACACTGTAAAGAGATGTCTCCAATTCATTTTTACGTTACATCTGTTGGTGCAGTCTCTTACCCGCTCCTCTCCTGGAATCGGGGGCAGTGGCTTTCTGGAAACTGTAAAAGAAAGAAAGAAAGAAAAAAAAGAAGCGAAACAAAAATGATGCAGGTGCAGTCACTCAACCGACAACTTCAGTGTGATTCAACGCACTGCAAACACTTTGATACAGCTACTTCCTGTTTGATCACGCTCTGCAAGTTTTGGTAAATATGGTTCATGGAAGTGGAGCAGTGGCTGAGCGGTTTGAACTTTTGTTTCTCAGGAGAAAGGTCACCGGATCAACTCTCACCATGTTTGGGCCTTTCTGTGTGGCGTTTGCATGTTCTACCTGGTTCCGGGTTGGTTTTCTGTATGTGCTTCGGTTTCTCTCATCAAACCAAAACGTGCACAGTTCTATGTCAAATCCAAAGACTAGCTCAAGATCTAGAGATAGGTCCCACTGTTTCTGACAGGTTTAACCCAGAAACACTGAAGGATGGGTCAAATGCAGAGGACAAATTTCCCTACGGGAACAATAAAGTAGGGCTTGGAATTAGACCTGACCAATATATCGATATATGGGCACTTGGAGACATATCGGACTAAATCTTGCCAATATGGGCCAATAGACCACGTGGGCATGTTATATCTCGTTATAAAGCTTAGACTCCCTATATTATGTAAATTTAATCCAATTTAAAGACAGATAAATGTCCTAATATGTGGCGCAGCATCAATATAATCTCTGGAGTAATTTGTCTGTGTCTGTGACGCTGTACTGCCCCTGAAGACACCACCAGAGTAACGTCACATGACACACATGCTCTTGTTTACACCAGTGTGTTCTGATACAGCACCGAGGCGCTGGCTTTAAACGCTCTTGTGTCTAAGGTATTAATTATAAATGAAACTGAACGTCAGTGCAGTTTAGGCCAGTTTGGGTGTTTCCTGCGACTTATACTCCAGTGCGACTTATATATTCAAATGTTCAGACTGACAGCTGCGAGAGAGCGCTCTAGTCTTGTGTGTCAGTATCTAGTACTACTATTACTCATGGATCTGCTATTAGTCCTGTACCACTGTCACGTCGCACTCTACTGCGCATGCCTCCTGTAGAAAAAGCCTTCTTCTTCATTGCGCATTTTTTGGCTGGTGCGACTTATACTCTGGAGCGACTTATAGTCCGAAAAATACAGTAATTGTTTTTTATCAAAGCGTGAGTGCAGAGAAGAGAGAACTGTCCCACAGACAGAGGACACACACACAGCTGCTAGACAACATGCTGGATTATGTTCTTTTTACAGACGATCGTTTTGAGTCAAATGCAAATGTGTGGTTTTTGAAGCTAGTTTTCGTTCTTTCTCATTGGTTCGCACCTAGCTGCTGTACATAAACAGCCTGTTTTCTTACATTGGCCTAATGTAAAGTGACTATAGTGGCTGTGTACATGTTACTTGACCTGCACTGATATGTAGATGAACTGTGAATAAAAGTGTGAATGGTCTGCTTTTACGCATATCAATAATTACTGCGGCATATATGCATTTATTGCCAAAGGCTGATAGCAGTAGTTTACTTACTTTGTTTACTGGCTACTATGTCATGCAAAAATGCCTTTAGACTGACCTCCTGTCATTAAATATGACTGTAAAGAGACAGAATTACAATAAATTTATCCTAAATAAATCCAATTTCAAACCCAGTAGAGCCAAACCTAAGTTTATAATCTGTTGAAAATTTACAGTGAGTTTTTACATCACTAAATATACAGGCTATCGGCACAAAGCCCGTTTTATGGGTATCATATCGGATAAAAAAATATCCATATCGGTCAGGCTCTACTGGGGCTCACAGGGTCCCACACGATTCGATATGAGTGATTTGATACAGTAAATGGCTCACGATATGGCGATACATGTGATGATCGACATATTGCACATGATGCTCTTTGATATACTACTGTTTTTTTAAGAACCAAACCCATTTTATTTTTATTTCTTTGTTAAAACACTACTTGTGCAAAATTAATTTGAAGTACATTTATTTTAATAATCAAAACATTATGTCAAGTGTATCGCATAAACAAGTTTCCTTCCACTAAATAAGCGACAAAATTGTAGTGCAGTCACAAAAGAACTACTAAGAGATACCAAAAAACTACTAAATACTCGATATATATCGATACAGTCGCCCATGATAATGATACCACATCACCAAATTTAGTATAATGCTATATCCATATTTCTTATAAGGCTTATAAAGTTTGAGTGTATTTTTGCTGATTCTTACTGTCTCCAAACAGTTTGTACTCTTCACATCCGGGAGCCATCTTTTCCACCTGCCGACAGCAGAGCCACGCCCCCTCCTGCCAAAAATGAGGGTGGAACTTGGCCACCACCGTTGAGTTCTCCTTTATCTCTGCTCAGATAAGACACAGGGAAACACGCAATGAAACAAAAAAATAGTAGGCCAGTTTATTCTATATCATTTCATGTTTTTGATGGTTTACAGGTTACACACTGCAAAAACAGAACCCTAGCCACATTAAGATTACTTTAATTAATAAAGTTTAATCATGATTTGAGTGAATTTTGTTATCTTTGTTATCTAAAATTATCTACCGAAGAAGACTTTTTGTATTTAATATATGAATAAACATTTTGATACACTTAAAGGTGCACTGTGTAGCTTTTCTGGTGGAGGCTGTTAAATGCTTTTCTCAGTGAAAATATTATTGCTTTGTCTGGAATGTTTCACAGTATGGCATTAAGCCTTTCTATCATCATGGAGACCAAGCTACAGGTCAGATCTGTGGAGAGGTGACCCACTCACAGTCAGAATGTCTGTTTTTGTAGGTAGTTTTGAGCAGAAAAACCACCTGTAAATGAATAAATGTAAGGCAGAGCTGTTGAATTGCATACTGTGGAACATTCCAGATATTGGCTAGACATTGCTTTTTGCAGTGCAGGTATAACCTTAGCTTTAGAACTTTATTCATCCACAAGTGAAATTATTTGGACATAGTAGCTCACACATCACAATATATTATAATGACAAAGAGCAAAAAATAATATATATATATATATATATATATATATATATATATATATATATATATATATATATATATATATATATATATATATATATATATATATATATATATATATCACTGTCAGTGCTGCATTCACATCGTCTAGGAAACACCTCCAAAGGTTGTGGAGAATGACCGAGCCAAGATCCTGTGGGACTTCCAGATACAGACTGACAGAATGGTGATGGCGAACCAACCAGACATAGTGGTGGTGGATAAGAAACAGAGCAGAGCCGTGGTGGTTGACATCGCAATACCAAGCGATGGTAATATCAGGAAAAAGGAACACGAGAAGCTAGAGAAATACCAGGGGCTCAAGGAAGAGCTGGAGAGAGCCTGGAAAGTAAAGGCATCAGTGGTGCCTGTGGTGATCAGAGCACTCGGGGCTGTAACCCCCAAACTGGAAGAGTGGCTTACAACAGATACCGGGAAAAACAATGGACATCTCAGTCCAGAAAAGTGCAGTACTGGGAACAGCAAAGATACTGCGCAGAACTCTCAAGCTCCCAGGCCTCTGGTAGAGGACCCGAGCTGAATGAGGGTGAGAGAGACCTACCACCGTGGAAGGTGAGAAACACATTTTTTTTTTTTTTTTTTTATATATATATATCTGTTGTAATACAGTGAGTTCTTGGGTCTAGGCACTAATAGAAAAGATCTGGTTCAACATTTGTGAGTTCACTTTTTGGATCTTATATGGAATGGCATACTAAGTTGTTCCTCATCAGAAACATACCTGGAGTTGTTTCATTCAAACATGTTTAACCACCTTGTGATATCATGTGGTAATACAGGAAATGTTTTAAATGTTTTAAAACTCCATTCACCTTCACTCAAATCATTTGAATGCCAGTCTTTACTGAACCAAAGGTAAAAGGAGCTGTTAACTTGAAAACTCAGCCTAAATATGCAGGAATTGTGTGTTAAACATGTTTGAATGATACAAAACACAACTCCAGGTCCGGTGTGTCTTGTTTTTACTGTTTTGCCCTGACAAAGACCATCTTGCTGGTCGAAACGTGTTGGCGTTTTAATAGGACTTTTAATATACTCAGTCGGAGTGCCTCGGGTTTGTACCATTACCCATTTTTACATTTTCCTGTAAGGGTAATTTTCTGTTCTAAGACAACTCCAGGTCTGTTTGTGATGAGGAAACAACATTAGAACATTATTATTATTAGCCTTATTATTCAGCAAATACCGTAAAATGGGCCCTTTTATACCGTGGGAATTTCCACACCAAGTTATAATAATCTGTAAAGTAATATGTTGAGTTTTGCAGAGGCTGACTGAAAAAAATGTGTGAAATTGTGGTTAAAATGTGTGAACATACCATCTTTGAGACTCTGCACCCATTGGCTCCTACTGTCTTGGCTCGGAGCAAACACGTACAGCGTTGAGTTGTCATACACCACCTGAGCACACAACAGTGGATTTTATAGCAAACATTATATCTTCCTTTGTATTATTTGACAACTATATGGCTGCAATTAACAATTATTTCGATTTAAACTATATTTTTTTCTGATTGGTTGACATGACAATTGGTTTCTATAGTATTTTTTATTTTTAAAGGGCCCATGTTACACTATTTTCATATTTCTTTTTAGTGCAATTTTGCATGCTTTTTTTTTTTTTACAGCATATGAAAGTGTATTGTGTTCCTCCCCCTGTGTCCTGATTGGCTAAGGGATTGTAGACCATTGTCAATCAGTCTCCTCCGTGCCATGTCTCCTGTACAGTACAGAATGCTTCAGCTTGCCAAATTTATATAAATGTTCGGTCACTAGTAGTATGATTCTGAAGTGCAGCGCGATCAAGCAGTTGCCGCGCTTGCCTCCGTGAGGTGCGGAGCTCTCCGTCAGTCCTTTCTCCTGCGGTCACCTCCAAGCCTGTCTTGACAGTGAGTCCTAGTTCAGTCCTGGTTTAGTCCTGGTTCAGTCCTGTTTTAGTCCTCTTCCTCAGTCCTGGAATCAGTCCTAGGTTAGTCCTGGGTTAGTCCTGGGTTAGTCTTGGTTTAGTCTTGATTCAGTCTGTGGAGTTTGATATGATCTCAGGTTAACGGGCGGATGTGGTGTTGTACTGCGCGGGTGCGGGTCTCCAAAAATGGATCCGTGCAGGACTCTGAGCTGTAGGGCTCTATTACGGAATAAATTAATCTTCAATTCGTTACATAAAGAAGGAGGAAAATAACAAAAGGAGGACAGCAGCAATAAGTTTGATGAACGATGCAAAAAAGGGTTGTAACTGTCCTGTCTGAGAAAAGTGTGTAAAGTGTGTGGTGAGGGGTTTTACAGCCTTAAAACAGATATAATAATTGTAAAATATAAAGTTGGTTATTTTCAGAACGTAACCCCCGCAATAAACGAGGGACCACTGTAATGTTGTTTCCTTGTCACAAACACACCTGGAGTTGTGTTTTATTTCTTTCACACTTGTTTGTGACACATGACATCACAAGGTGGAACAGAGCATTTTGAGCTTTGGAGATGTAGATAGAATACTAAAGGATTACTCCAACATGTATGAATGAAACAAAACACAACTGCAGGTGTGTTTGTGATGAGGTAACAACATTATAACATGGCTTAAAGGTCAGAATTAATTTTGCATAATGTGGAACCTTTAAGAACAATGGCCTCTACATAGCATCTCTAAACTCTTCTGTTTTGTCCACATAATTGCTATTCTAATAGGGGTAGTTATCAGTTGGACTGTTCAAACAATTAACTGGAATATTCTGAACTAATTGACTAATTTTATACACATATATATATATATATATATATATATATATATATATATATATATATATATATATATATATATATATATATATATATATATATTATATTTATATATTTATATTTATATACATACATACATACATATGTAGTTATTTGGACTAAAGACGTTTTATAACAAAGACATAACTGATAAATAGTTCAGAAAATATGATAATATGGGCTCTTTTAGATGCTTTACTTCAAATATTGTAGGATCCATCTTTCAAATAAAGCTACTAAATTAAGAAAATTATTGGTAAATACTACCTTTAAAACTATATTTGAGTAACTTCCTTATGGAATTATAACTACAAATCTTCTTTTATATATTGTGTCTCTTTATGCGTGTAGAACAGTGTTGGGTGAATCTTTTTGTGATGTACTAAACCAGGTCTAACCCAGGGCTAAACCAGGTCTAATCCACAATTAAACCAGGTCTAACCCAGGACTAAACTGGGTCTAACCCAGAACTATACCAGGTCTAACCCAAGACTATACCAGGTCTACCCCAGAATTAAACTAGGTCTAACCTAGGACTAAACCAGGTCTAACCCAGGAATCTACTAGGTCTACACCAGGACTAAACCAGGTCTAATCCAGTACTAAACCAAGTCCAACCCAGGATTAAATCAGGTCTAAACCAGGACTAAACCAGGACTAAACCAGGTCTAACCCAGGACCAAACCAGGTCTAACTCAGGATTAAACCGGATCTGACACAGGACAAATCCAAGATTAAACCAATAGTAAACAAGGTCTAACTCAGGACTAACCTGAGACTTAAACCTGATCTAACCCAGGCCTAAACCAGGTGTAACCCAAGACTAAATCAGGATTAAACTGAGATTAAACCAGGTCTGACCGAGGATTAACCTGGGACTAAACCAGGTCTAAACCAGGACTAAACCAGAAGTAAACAGGACAAAAGAAACCAAGAACCAAATCTTCTCTTATATAGTGCCCCACTTTAGACATGTAGAACAGAGCTGTACCTGAAATGGATACTTGTACTGACAGGGGATGACAATTCCTCCGTTCTTCACGATCTCGACACATTTGATCCGATTTAATTCAATCAGGCCTTTTCTGAAGCGCTTCTAAAAAGTTCAGAAAATATCAAATTAAGAGTTACAGATTTTGCAAATTTAAAAAAAATTGTGTGAATAGTAAACCAATCAGTTCCTCCACTTTCAACACTGTAGTCACACACTTGAAATAAAAATAAGCTACTTCTGTGGTCCCATACACTGTATATATAAATGGGCATCGCTAACCCAAAAGCCGCATTATAAATATGAAATCAGCAGGTCACACTTACAGCTACAATGACTCCATTTCCTTTCTATTCACAAAATTCACCTCTATAACTGCAGCCTCAATAAGCTTCATTTGACTGGAGCTGAACGCATCACCACTAGGGCTGGGTATCATTAAGAATTTTCCAATACGACACATACCTTGATACATAGGCCGTGAAACGATACAAATTTACAAAGGCTAAATCATGACTAAAAGTCTTTGTTAAAACACTTCTTGTGCAAAGTTAAAATGAAAAACACCCATTTTATTCATCAGAACAGTGAATATGTCAAATGTGTTGCATAAGTGAGTTTCCTTCCTCTAAATAAGCAACAAAACTGCAGCACTGTAACAAAACATTTAGTAAAATACACAGCAGCCCATAATATTGATACTGTATTGTCACATTAAACAATATGATATATTGATATTTTTATATTTTTGCACACCCCTAAACATCACACTCCGTTAGTCCACTTCTTTATGCACTACTTTTAGACATTGATGAGGTGGGTGTCTTGCCCAGGGACACGACAACAGTATGCACTGGTTGAGATCAAACCAACCAACAGTTTGAGCTTAGTTTTTACCAAGTGCTTTTTAATATAGAACCAGACTGTATAAAGAAGTGGACTAAGGAGTTTGACGTCATCCACAGCATTCGACTCCTTTCAAATCAAACTCATCGAAGCTAGCAATTATGGACCGAATTTAGAGTTGAGTTCTAAGAGAGGAATTCTGAATGCGTGGATCATAGCAACCAAAGAGCCAATCCACAGCGAGGCTGTTGAAGGTAGGGCACAAAAAATATATCTCGATATATTTTGCTATAACCCCAAAAAACTCCTTCAAAAACAAATATGCCAAATTCCACAAGGTCTTTTTTTAATTGAAGTGCAAGAGGTAGGTATACAACATATACACCATGACAACTATAGAGCCAGCCCGTTTGAGATTATAATGGGTTTAATGCGGCTTTGCGCACATGTGTTTACATTTTACAGAAAAAAAACTTAAAACCACATGATTCATTTGCAGAAACTGCTCGCTCCTTGTGCCACTGAAGTGGTTCAGCTTCTGTCGGAGTGAAGGACATTTGTTTTCCGTGGAATACAAGTGTTCTCTCTGTGACAGAGGATGTGCTGCTGATGGCCTTGTCTGTAAATGGTGGAAAAGGTTCATGGTGCAAGCTTTTCACTGGCACCAACTTTCATCATTCACAGCGGTCGTGAGGAGTGAATGAGACACAAGCGAGAAAAATCAAGGAGGTGGGGGAGAGTGGAGGCGCGCACAGAGAAGGCAAACAAGCAAAGAGGTGAATTTAGAATTAAATATAAGCTTTCTATCGATATATACGATATGTCGGAATCCATATTGTGTTTAAAAATATCTCAGTATATTTATAATATTGAGATATCGCTCACCCAAGTTGAAGGTAACACCCCTTGGTCTGTTATTAATGTTCATATCTTGATTTACAGACAAAATAGTGAAATAAAAACACCAGGATCATGTAGAACAAGTTAATACAAACATTTTAAGACCAAAATGAGAGAGAGTAGGGTTGGCGGTTTTTCAGTAGAAATTGAATTGGAAGTCGATGAGGCTGGAAGCGCCCATGTTCTAAGTATAGAACGTTTGCTGAACCCAGAGTAGCTCCTCACCTCGCTCCGTCTGTCGTAGTAACTTAGTGTGCTCTTGGTCAGCACAAACAGTCTCTCCTTGTAGTTCAGTGGAGACGTTTTCTTCTTCTGCTGCGACCGTTTAATCAGCAGCTCCTCCAATAGCGGCTCAGCGCTCATCCTGGTCCCGCCCGCCGCCTCAGCCCATTGGTCCACGTCAGTAAACCCCGGTCTGCTGCCGAACTGGAAGGAACAATATAGTTACATTACAATGATCACAATAAGGACTCAAAAGTTATATTTGATTTGCAAAGGATGAAAATTATTTATCCCAGGACTAAACCAGAACTAATCCAGGTCGAACCCAGGACTAAACCAGGACTAAACTAGGTCTAACCCAGGACTAAACCAGAACAAACCAGGTCGAACCCAGGACTAATCCAGGTCTAACTCAGGACTAATCCAGGTCTAACCCAGAATAAACCGGATCTAACCTAGAGCTAAATTATGCCAAACGTAGGACTAAACCAGGACTAAACACGGATTAGAGTAGGTGTAATCCTCCAGAACCAAACTAGGTCTAACCCAGGACTAGAGCCCGACCGATATATCGGCTGGCCGATATTATCGGCCAATATGGGCACCTGGAGACATATCGGCTATTGGCCGATATGCTTGCTGATATGGGCCGATATTTCACGTGGGCATGTTATACCTCGTTATAAAGCTTAGACTCTCTACATTATGTTCATTTAATCAAATTTACAGACAGATAAATGTCCTAATATGTGGCTCCACATCAGTATTTATCTACGGTGTAATTTGTCTGTGTCTGTGTCCGTACTGTCCCTGAACACACCACCAGAGTGACGTCACTTCACTCGCGTGTGTTTGTTTACACCTGCAGTGGTGCACAACACTGAGATTATATTCTTTTTCGGACAATCGGTTTGAGTCTGGATTAAAAAGACTTTTATTAGTGCAGACTTGTGATGTGAGGAGGAGCCTGTGTGAGCGGTGAGTGTTGGAAATATGTCGACTTTGAAGCTAGTTTAGCTTTTGTTAGCGATTAGCTGCTGTAGCTCCCGCACATAAACAGGCTGTTTTCTATTGGCCTATTGTAAAGTGACTACATTGGCCGTATATTTGTTACTGGATCTGCATTGATATGTAAATGAGCTGTGAATAGACGTGTGAATGATCCACATTTATGCATATAATTAATTACCGCGGTACGCACGTTTTTATGACTAAAGGCTAATAGCGATAGTTTACTAGCTAGGAGTTATGGGTCGGTCGCGATCGAAGCGGCTCTTTGAAGCGAACAACAGGAGCCTGCTTCTTATTGGGAGCCGTGTTTTCTCTTTTTCTCACTTTTTCTCTTCATGCCGCATGTAGACCCATAGTTTCACAGCAGCAGCGGCTGAAAACGAAACTTTCAGAAATCTGCGTGTGCATAGGATAAAAAAAAAGTGCATATTTGGCTGCAGTTCAGCATAAAATGAATAAACCAGGACTAAAGTGAAGGAGAGAGATAGAGACACTCAGTCCTGGTTCAGTTCTGGTTTAGTCCTGCTTGCAACAAAACCATCTCAAGAGTTGCTTGGGAGCCGAAAGAGCCAGTTGCTTTAGTGAGCTGAGCCGGTTCTCCAAAAAAAAAAAAAAAAAAAAAAAAACTGGAATACCCATCACTAGCACTGACAGTAACAGTAGCTAGAATGTGATGCAAAAATGCCATTAGGCCAATCTACTGTATGTAAATATGATGTAAAGAGTCAAAATAACAATACATGTTGCCTAAATAAACCCAATTTAGAATCCCCTAGAGCCAAACCTAAGTTTTTAATCAATTCAAGATTTACAGTGAATTTTTACATCACTAAATATATCGGCGATTATATCGGCTATCGGCAGCTCCAACTCCCATTATATCGGTCTCATATCGGTCACAACAAAATCCATATCGGTCGGACTCTACCCAGGACTAAACCAGGATAAATCAGACCTAAACCAGAACTAAACTGGGTCTAACTCAAGACTAAACCAGTACAAAACCAAAGCAGGTCTAATCTTCCAGGTTGAAACCAGGTGTAACACAGGAGTAAACTAGGACTAAACTGAGTCTTAACCAGGACTAAACCAAGACTAAAGCAGGTCTAACCCAGGACCAAACCAGGACTAACTCAGGACTAAACCAGGTCTAACCCAGAATAAATCGTATCTAACCAAATTATGTCAAACCTAGGACTAAACCAGGTCTAAACAAGAATTAAAGTAGATCTAAGCCTCCAAGACCAAACTAGGTCTAACCCAGGACTAAACCAGGACTAAATTGGGTTTTAACCAGGTCTAGCTCAGGATTAATCCAGAAGTAACACAGAAGTAAACCAGCTCTAACCTAGGACTAAATCATGTCAAACCTACGACTAAACCAGGAATAAAGAATTAGAGTAGGTGTAATCCTTCAGAACCAAACTAGGTCTAACCCAGGACTAAATCGGGACTAAATCAGACCTAAACCAGAACTAAACCGGGTCTAACCCAAGACTAAACCAGTACAAAACCAGGATTAAAGCAGGTCTAATCTTCCAGGACGAAACCAGGTTTAACACAGGACCAAACCAGGACTAAACTGAGTCTTAACCAGGACTAAACCAGGACTAAAACAGGTCTAACTCAGGACTAATCCAGGTTTAACACAGGACTAAATCAGGAAAAACCCTGGATTAAACCAGAATTAAAGTCAGTCTAATCCTTCCGAACCAAACTAGGTCTAAACCAGGACTAAACCAGGTCTAAATCAGGATTAACCCAGGTCTAAACCAGGTCTAAACCAGGACTAAACCAGAATTTACCAGAACGAAATCAGGTCTAACCCAGGAGTAAACCAGGATTAAAAACATGTTAAGAACTGGCTAATAACTCATCAAACCTGCGATCATTAGTGTGCCGCCCTCCCTACAAGTGTGTGTCTCCTGTCTGTGTGCTCTAGTGTGTGTCTTATTTCTCATTGTCTACATTGTGATTATGGTTGTTAGTGTGTGTTTGCATTCTCATTGTTTTTTAATTGACCTGTTATGTACAATTCACAATGTACTTTTTTGTATATCGTAATTCTTATTGTTGTGTTTTTAGGGAAGCCATGTTTACAATATGTCCAGGGAATACAGATGAAAAATGGCCTCTCTGGCTAATTGTGGTACATTTACAGAAATGTTGATAAATGTACACTGTCTGTACAGACGGTAATAATATTAAAGCCTTGTAAGTCTCTTGTGGCACAATAAAGCTGGTCTAAGTCTAAAAGAATGAAGTTTAAGATGAGATTAGCTTAGATCCATTGAATAATCAGGCTCCATGCCAGCTCCCTCTGTAGGTATACACCAATAAATACCTTTTAGATTTCCATCATATCTGAGCAGTTATCACAAGCCTTTTTTATGATTTCATTTCCATTACTGTGCACACAAGGCACTAAATTGTTTCATTTATTACAGGGCATAAAGGAATTTGGATGGACACAATTACACAAATCACAATGGCTTAATATTTTTTGGAGATGATTTTCTTCTAAATCTCCGTGTTATTCTGCATAAAAACTGCCAACTGTAGCTGATCTAATATTTTAAATTACATTTCTTTTATTTTCTTCTGCTCTTTTTACTAACCCAGGAGTAAACCAGGTTAAACTCAAGACTAAACCAAGACTAAACCAGGACTAAACCAGGTCAAATTCAAGACTAAACCAGGACTAAACCAGGTCTAAACCAGGTCTAATTCAGGTCTAATTCAGGTCTAAACCAGGTCTAACCATGTCTAATTCAGGTCTAAACCAGGTCTAAACCAGGTCTAAGCCAGGTCTAATTCAGGACTAAACCAGGTCTAAACCAGGTCTAATTCAGGTCTAATTCAGGTCTAAACCAGGTCTAAACCAGGTCTAATTCAGGTCTAATTCAGGTCTAAACCAGGTCTAAACCAGGTCTAATTCAGGTCTAATTCAGGTCTAAACCAGGTCTAAACCAGGTCTAAGCCATGTCTAATTCAGGACTAAACCAGGTCTAAACCAGGTCTAAACCAGGTCTAATTCAGGTCTAATTCAGGTCTAATTCAGATCTAAACTGGGTCTAAACCAGGTCTAAGCCAGGTCTAAACCAGAACTGAACCAGGTCAAACTCAAGACCAGGTATAAACCAGGACTAACCCATGCAGAAAAGTTACACAATGCTCCTTTAAAAATGTATTTTCAGTGGTGTATGACATTATCTTCAGATCAGCCTCAATCATTGCTGTAGAACAAATTGGGTACTACAGCCTCAGTTTTGCAGAAGTGGTGAAGATGTCAAACCAAAGTGGTGACATCTGAGTTCATCTGTACTTTGCGTGTGTTTGTTTGTAGCATTCAAAACTCCACTTCCCCCCAGAGACTCTATTTTTATCTGTTTTGCACATTTCCTGTCATACTATAAAAAGTATGAGCGCATCATTAAGCACAACGTTACGCAAATATGAACTGTTGTAATTAGCCAAGTCACTAGTCTTTAGTGGAAGGTACAAAGGTAAAAGTGAAGAACAAAAGTAAAAGTACAATCATTTGAGAGCAGGTATCTGTACTTTCTTTCTTAAAATCTGGACTAAAAATTAAAAAGTACTGTCTTTGTGGTTTGAGACCTGCTGAAATAGCTGAGACTTATTTTCAGCACATTTAATCTGAGTTAACTCCCCAACTTTGAGCAGTCTAGTTTTGAGAATCACTTAAAGTCTCCTACATTATTTTTCTTTAACTGTATTGAGTACTTCATCCATCACTGTAATAGTAAATATTTGTTTGTTTAAGACTGCTGCTTGTTTCCATGGAGATGTTATAGTTTTGCCTGTAATGTTCCACAGTACATCATCTAGTTCTGTATTGTGTTTTGCATTCGCCCACTGATCTGAAGGTTGGTGGTTCGAATCCAGCTCTCGACATAAACATCTCAGGTTGAGCGGTCAGATCCACTGACCCACAGGTTGGCTGGTGTGATTCCAGCTCCCACAGATGAATGCTGCCGTTGTGTCCTTGGGCAAGACACTTAACCCACCTTGCCCACAGTGTCTGCGTACACTGGTGTGTGAATGTGTGTGTGAATGGGTGAGTGGTTCCTTGTTGTAAAACGCTTTGAGCCTTGAAGATGGAAAAGCGCTATGTGTGACCATTTAGTAGTAGTAGTAGCAGTAGTAGTAGTAGTAGTAGTAGTAGTAGTAGTAGTAGTAGTAGTAGTAGTAGCAGTAGTAGCAGCAGCAGTAGCAGCAGTAGTAGTAGTAGTAGTAGTAGCAGTAGTAGTAGTAGTAGTAGTAGTAGTAGTAGTAGTAGTGGTAGTAGCACTAGCAGCAACAGCAGCAGTAGTAGTAGTAGTAGAAGTAGTAGTAGTAGTTGCACTAGCAGTAGAAGTAGTAGCACTAGCAGCAGCAGCAGCAGCAGTAGTAGTAGTAGTAGTAGCAGTAGTAGCAATAATAGTGGAAGTGGTAGTGGTAGTATTTAGTAGTAGTAGTAGTAGCAATAACAGTAATAGTAGTAGTAATAATAGTGGTGGTAGTAGCAGTAGTAGTAGTAGTAGTAGTAGCACTAACAGCAGTAGTAGTAGTAGTAGTAGAAGTAGTGGCACTAGCAGCAGCAGCAGCAGTAGTAGTAGTAGTAGTGGTATTAGTAATAGTAGTAGTAGTAGGAGTATTAGTAGGACACACTCATTCAATGTTTTTACTTTGTTTACTAATTTCGACATGTTTTATATAGAAGACACTAAATATATGAAACAAGATATAAAGAACTAGGCAGTACATTTAAAAAAATGAAATAACTCACTCACACTAATATTTTTTTTTCTCACATATTTTAGATTCAGACCCTCAAAAGTACCCACCCTTTGCTTTGTGGGCAGCTGCACACTCCTCACCTTCTCTCTGTGAGCTTTTTGATGAACACTCCTGAAATGGTTTTCACTAAACAGCTATGCGATTTCAGGGTCAACAAATGCCAGCAGGGCAAAGCAGTGTTCAAAACAAAGGGTGAAAACAAGCAGGAGACGCCACCAAGACAAGTTACAGGTCAGATCTGCGGAGAGTATATAGAGTATAAAGTATATTTTAGGAAAACAAACCTGCCTAACTGAAGAAATGCAAGAGAGATAAGAAGTTAATTGCAGTACTGTGTGGAACATTCCAAAGCAAAAGCATCTCCGGTTAGACATAACTCTTTTGTTATTCTAATACAATGTGATGATGTGTGAACTACTGTGTCCAAAGTCATTTCCCCAAGTCTAAGTCTAAAATCCTAAACAGAAGTTTGGTTTTCCTCAACAAAATGCAGTTCTCCATTCAAAACGGGTCAAATTTCATCATCAGATCTCTCAGACAGTGGTGTTTTTCTGTGTTTTTCAGTGCTCTTTTTTTCCTTTTCATTCTTTTTCTTTTCTGTTATCTGACTCTGGACCCCAGGAAGAATAGTTGCTGTTTTTCAGTAGCTAATGGGGATCTAAATAAAAAAACAAACAAACAAACAAAAAACAAACTCTGCAGCTCAGAGTCTCGGCCGTGCCCTCAGTGACAGACAATCAACCACAGACATTCACAGGTTTAGTGCCATCTGCAAACAGGGTCCAGACTTAGATTTTGGTCTTAAACAGTATTTTATGTTTTTGTTCATTATTATTATTATTATTATTATTATTATTATTGTTATTATTATCAGTAGTAGTAGTAATAGTAGTAGTAGTAGTAGTAGTAGTAGCAGTAGTTAGCGTTGGAAAGGTTACTTTTAAAATGTATTCCCCTACAGATTACAGATTACATAGCCCAAAATGTAGTTTGTAACATAATCCATTAAATTACTTAAAGTGAGTAACGTAATCTGATTACTTTGTAACAGTAACTGTAACCAAATACAGTTACTCATAATTTGTACTTTGATTACGTAACTCCGGTACATGTAATTTGTTACTCCCCAACACTGGCAGTAGTATTAGTATTAGTATTAGTAGTAATGGTAGTAGTAGTAGCAGTAATAGTAGCAGTAGCAGTAGTGGTAGTAGCAGTAGCAGTAGTAGGAGCAGTAGTAGTAGTTGTAGTAGTAGTCGTGATAGTAGTAGTAGTGGTAGTAGTAGTAGAAGTAGTAACAGTAGTCGTAGTAACAGCAATAGTAGTAGTAGCAGCAATAGTAGCAGCAGTAGTAGCAGTAGTAGTACTAGTAGTAGCAGCAGCAGCAGCATCAGTAGTAGTAGTAGTAGTAGTAGTAGTAGTAGTAGTAGTAGTAGTAATAGTAGGAGTGGAAGCAGTAGTAGTAGTAGTAGTAGTAGTAGTAGTAGTAGTAGTGGCAATGAGGGTTTTAAAAATATGCACAAATTACTCAAACTATTTCAGACTCCACTTTGACAGCAAATACATCAACACTACTTCTGTAACGCACATTTTATTGACATAAAATTAGACTTTTACATCTGGACGCAGCAGCTCACACATCACAATATATTATAATAACAAAGAGTAAATAAAACATGTAAATTGTAATCATAAATTCCAAATATATAGACCTATTCACACACTGTACTCTGACCCTTCTCCCTGTTTGACATATGAGTGAAATCCTCTGTTGTTCAATTTTAGGAGCTCACAAATTGCAGTTTTTTGTTGTTACGTTTTAGTATCTATATTGAAAGAAACAATAATTTGGACCAGTGTCTTTTGCGTGTACTTGTAGTAAAAAGTAGTGGGGAAAAAAACAAGGTGAGAGCTGGGCCAAGAGCCTGAGAACTGTGTGACCTGGTGCGAACTGTTCCAAATGATTTCAGATACACGTTTGAACCAAAAGATCAAACTAAACCAAGATTCCAAAACGTTTTCTTCTAACCTGCAATAATTTTACAGCAGTAGAAAAGTCATTTAATAAGAAAATACAACAACACGTACTGGTCAACTGCAAGACTCAGATATAATAAGTCAATCTTTAACATTTAACTCAAGAAAGAATGTTTTTGTAGCCTGATTATGCATTTTATAATCAATTTCAATAAGGCTACGATTAATTCGCCCGTATAAAGAGCACCAAAGAGCACGTTGACTGACCGTTTACTTAATTATAACAACATTAGTCACGTAAAAAGTCCCGTATTTAATCCTTCCTCTTGGATCACCTGTTATAAACTACGCGCAACAAAAAAACGCGCTGAAACTTAAAAAAAAAAATAAAAATAAAAAAAAAACTCCGCTGTCTCATCTATTTGCTTAAAAACACAGATTTTTCAGACAATTTCATATTCTATTACACTCATAAATTTAGGCTAACGTGCGCTAACTGTGTACGAAGCACGTTTAATTCATACAAAATGTGTGCGTAATGGCAATAAGCGGTTTTACGACTTTTAAGACTTTGACCATTAAACATCCAACTTAGCTTAACATCCAAAAAAAAAAGCACGTTCTTAAAAAGCAAAATGAACAGCGTAAAAATAGGAATTACAGATCGTATTATGAGCTTTTTCGGATCCTTTTCTTACCTTTTTGTGGCATCGTAGGTTTGAGTTGACAGGGAGCAGAGTCTGTGCGTAAATTTCACGCGTACAGTTTAAGGAAATGAAAGCGCCGGTTCACTTCCTGGTTTGGTGTTTTTAAAAAGCGGTATGAGAGCTGAGGTTTCTGACTGACAAATCTGGCGACTGCAGATACAGAAAGGGGTTGCGTAACTCAGAAGTTAATGAGTAGTTTTATTATGATGAGGTCGTTATGATATGTGGCAGTTTGGGGAAGCACATCGGAACAGGTGGCGCTGACGTAATTAAAGCCACACTGCGTAACATTTCGGCCAATAAGTGACTAAAATATATCAGATTTTGACATAGTTTTGTCAAAGTTTAGACCTGGATTAGTCCAAGTTTAATCTGCATTTAGACTTGGTTTAGTTCTACTTTAGTTCCAGATTATTCAGACCTGGTTCAGTCCTAGTTAAGACCTGTTTTGGACCTGATTTAGACCTGGTTTAAATCTAGTTTTGAACTTTAGTCCTGGTTTAGATTTGGTTTTGTCCAGGTCTGGTTTGGAGTTACACTTTTCTTGTCAGATTTTGTTTAGTCCTGGTCCAGATATAAATCTGGTTTACTACACATTTAATCCTAGTTTAGTTTTGGTTTATTTAGACCTGGTTTGCTCCTGATTTGATCTGAATTTTGGCCTGGTTTTGGACAGATTTCAACTTGGTCAAATCTTTAGTTCATGTTTAGACCTGGTTTGCTGGTATTCACTAGTAGTAGTAGTAGTAGTAGTAGTAGTAGTAGTAGCAGTAGCAGCACTAGTAACAAGAAATTAAATCCGATAGCATACATACAAATTTAACCTATACATGAGTTTGGGATTAGTAAAATGATATAACATGTTGTCTTAATTTGTTCACCATGGCAACTTGCCTAATTTCTCATCATTGTGACATTCATGGATAGGACTTCTCTATTGTCTTTTTTGCTTTGAAGTTAAAAACATTTTATCAAAAAATATAAAGATAATACAATTCTTTAGAAAAGCTTGACCTTTGATCTGTGTAAGTAAGTAGCTTGGTAAATTATTTATGATGTAGTAGTAGTAGTAGTATAGCAGTTCTAATATAGTAATAGCAAGACATAGGCAGAACATGCAAACTCCAACTCCAAAGAAAAAGTCTGGTGGAATTGAACCGGCAACCTTCTGGTAATGAGGCAGGTAGGCTAACCACATTCAAGGGGCTGTATTTTAAATGAGAGAATATTGGTAGAATCTTCTACATAAGCATACATGATCGTTATTGAACTTAAATGTGAACTGTTTTACTTTTCTTGTCTGGGGTTCTCTGTCTCCTTGTCTCCATGAAGATGTTATGTTATTGTCTGGAATGTTCCATAGTATGGCATTAAACTGGTCTATCCTGCATGTACTCCTTTATATGCGGTTTCATTGCTCAATAATACCTTGCATTGTTATTCTGTACGATGTCGCCTCTCCACAGATCTGACCTTTAGCTTGGCCTGGTGGCATCATCTGCTTGACTGCATGGAGATACTGTAGGGAGGTTTAATAACGCCATGCTGTGGAACATTCTTTCAATGTTTCTCTTAGAACCTGTTTTAATGCATTGTTTCTGGTGACTACATTTAAAGGTATTGTCTGGAGCAGGTGGTGACAGCGGTTGCTCCTAACACACTCCCGGCCCCATGGAGAGGACGCCCATTCTAGAATCCAGGTAGAGGCTTTGGGTGGTGTATGTTTGGGGGTGCTGGCATTTGACGGCATGTGTGGTAATCAGTGTATTCTCAATTCTCTCAAATTGTACCAATTTCTTTAAAGTCCTTAGGGATTCTCTCGCAAAGTCTGATTCCATAGTTCCTTTTATCTGTAGAGTTGGTGTAGTTGCTCTAGTGTGTGTATTTATTGGCTAAAAAGTAAACTGTGGACCACTACTTCACGTCTTGTCTGGATTTTTTAACCTTTCTCACTGAACCCCAACCCGTCACATGCTGAATAAGTCAAATTTGACTGATAAAATGCCTTTTACTATTGTGCATGTATCATTTTGATGCCTAACTTTGTGCTCTAATAAATGGATAATGGTTTATGTTTTGTAGGCATCTAACTGTATGCAGTGTTGGGGAGTAACGGATTACACGTACCGGCGTTATGTAATCAGAGTACAAATTATGAGTAACTGTATTCAGTTACAGTTACTGTTTCAATGAGAGGTACTTGGATTACAGTTACTTTTGTTGAAATAAATGGATTACATGGTGGTATTTTCCTGTTTTCACATTTTGGGCTAAACCAGGACTAAACCAGGAATAAACCAGGACTAAACCAGGTCTAATACCAGGACTAAAACCAGGACTAAACCAGGTCTAATACCAGGACTAAAACCAGGACTAAACCAGGTCTAATACCAGGACTAAAACCAGGACTAAACCAGGACTAAACCAGGTCTAAACCGGGACTAAAACCAGGACTAGGGATTTCTCTATTTTATTATTTTTATTTTTTATTTAGATTAAATTTTATTATTATTTATTTTTTTATATGGTTAAGTAAAGACTAAGATTTTTTTTGTCTTTAAACAGACAAAACATCTTATGTTAAGATCCTAGTCTTTGCTACTTTACAGCAAACATTTACCTGTTCATGGAGTCTTAGGTTCAACAGCCAATTTGAAAAGAACAAGCAAGAATTTTCAGGATGTGGTTGCTACATTCATGTAGTTTTAAAAAGCATGACAATATCAAGTAATCCAAAGTATTCAGATTACGTTACTCACTTTAAGTAATTTAATGGATTATGTTACAAACTACATTTTGGTGTATGTAATCTGTAATCTGTAGGGAAATACATTTTAAAAGCAACCTTCCCAACACTGACTGTATTTCATCTAAGGTTGCTGTTACTCTTTTATATAATACATTTCTTGTGACTGCTAAAGGTTTCTGACATTTTTGTTTTGTGATGGTAGCTCACCGGAAGAAAAAGGTTGGAGAAGACTGGCATACATGTCCGGGCACTTACTTTAAAACTGCTGCAGTTCGGAGCCATGCACCGATTTCTTCGATGCACAAATCTTTCCTGTTAAAATATGGTCAACAGAAAGTTCCAGCCACCGTGATCCATGGCTACACACTCAGCAGGTGAGTGTGCTCCTGCCATATAGACCACACCACACATCGCAGTGTCGTGCACAGGAATAAAGTGTGTGCACGTAGACACACACAGGAGAAACTATAGAAAACCCACGTATTGCTCCTACAGGTCGTTTTCAAGTTAAAAGCTCCTTTTACCTTTAGTTCAGTAGAGATTTGCAATTCTAGGTCTGAAATCATCCAAATGATTCTAGAGAAGGTGTATGGGGTTTAAAAAACACAGTGGAGCACTTCCTGTATTACCACATGACATCACAAGTTGGAATGGAGTGTGTTCTGTTTGAGTGAAGAACTCAGCCTAACTGTGCAGAGTTTGCGTGTTAAACATGTGTGAATGAAATAAAACACAACTCCAGGTGTGTTTGTGTTGAGGAAAAAACATTCTAACACAAATCAGAACTCAGAGTAATATGGGCCCTTTAAGACAAAAAAAAAAAAGTATGTTATTTCTCTGAAACCTTTCTCTTTTTCAGCGGATGTTGTGGTTTTGTTCACGTCATTTCCTTCAAATTTTTCTTCCAACTACATAACACCAACCCACTCATTTTTTACACTTTTTTTTAAACAATTTTATCAGTATATCATCAGAATATTAGCATGTTCCAAAAATATCCATCTATCTATATCCACCATTGTAACCTACGTGCATTTTTGAGCTGGATATGAGTTTGTGTGTGTTCTTGCGTGGTATGTACGCCCCTCTTCACTTCCTCCTCCCACCTGTGGCTTTTTATTCTACTCCTTGTTAGGTGTAAATCAATTGTTTCATTTGAGTTGTTACCATGAAAGGTTCAGACCAGAGCAAATGAAGCAAAACACAAGAGAAGAAGACAGAGTTTTGAGCCCGACTCGAGACCGAAGATGATACATTCAAGTGGGTAACGCAGTGTTTTTATATTGAAAATCTGCAATGTTGTGTTTGGATTATTGGTTTTGACCTCATTTTGATCTGATTTTGACATAGTTTTGTCAAAATTTAGACCTGCATTAGTCCAAGTTTAGTACCCGGTTTAGACCAAGTTTAATCTGCATTTAGACCTGGTTTAGTCCTCGTTACGTTTTGGTTTCTTCAGACCTGGTTTATTTCTAGTACAGTATCCGGTTTAATCCAAGTTTAATCTGCATTTAGACCTGGTTTAGTCCTCGTTACGTTTCGGTTTCTTCAGACCTGGTTTATTTCTAGTACAGTATCCGGTTTAATCCAAGTTTAATCTACATTTAGATCTGGTTTTGACCCTGTTTTGTCAAAATTTAGACCTGGTTTAGTCCAAGTTTAGTACCCGGTTTAGTCCAAGGTTAATCTCTATTTAGACCTGGTTTAGTCCAAGTTTAGTACCTGGTTTAGTACAAAATTTAAACTCTATTTAGACCTGATTTAGTCCAAGTTTAGTACCCGGTTTTGTACAAATTTAATCTCTTAAAGGGATAGTTCTGATTTTTTGACATAAATCTGTGTGGCATCCCCGTCATCAGTGTTGTGCATCCACACCGACTTTACCCCCGAAAGCGTCCGGTGAGCCGAGATACTGGCCCGTTTTGGTGCTGAGGAAAGTAGTTCGCCAAGTTGTGTGGGGACTGTATACTAAAGCGTTTTTCTTCTCAAAGCAATATTTGTTCAAAAGAGTGATACATTTGCATCACAAAACCATCGTCGCCAAAAAAGTCAGATCTCATAATCGCTTGGCGCTATTTTCTCTCCGTACATACCACTGCGCCAGGTGACAGCCTGGCACTTCTTCGTTCTTACCTGGTTTGGTTTCCACATTGAAGCCAAAGGCAAGAAGCCAAAGTTTCCTCAGCGCAAAGTCCGTGACAGGAAAACAGTGAAATGTGCGTGGAGATTTAGCCAGATTTTTGTTGTTACAGCCTCTATAATCAAGAGTTTGCACCATTTTTTAGATATATTCATATGTATCTTATACAAGCTTATATACTTCTGGCTCTAGCTCTCTCGTTAGCTCTCTCGCGTGGCGGCGGTCTGCGCATGTAAACACTGCCGAACAACTGAAGAAAGTGATGGATCCGTGCGCAGCTGTCACCTGGCGGCCGCGCGCAGTGGTACGTACGGAGAGAAAATAGCGCCAAGCGATTATGAGACTTATCTGACTTTTTTGGCGACGATGGTTTTTGTGATGCAAATGTATCACTCTTTTGAACAACATATTGCTTTGAGAAGAAAAACGCTTTAGTATACAGTCCCCACACAACTTGGCGAACTACTTTCCTCAGCACCAAAACGGGCCAGTATCTCGGCTCACCGGACGCTTTCGGGGGTAAGTCGGTGTGGATGCACAACACTGATGACGGGGATGACATACAGATTTATGTCAAAAAATCCGAAACTATCCCTTTAGTCCTAGTTTAGTCCTCTAGTTCCCCTGGCATTTAGACCTGGTTTAATCCAAGTTTAATAACCGGTTTAGTCCAAATTTAATATGCATTTAGACCTGGTTTAGTTCTACTTTACTTTTAGTTTATTCAGGCCTGGTTCAGTCCTAGTTACAACCTGTTTGGACCTGATTTAGACCTGGTTTAAACCTAGTTTTGAGCTTTAGTCCTGGTATAGATTAGGTTTTGTCCACGTCTGGTTTGGAGTTACACTTTTCTTGTCAGATTCTGTTTAGTCCTGGTCCAGATATAAATCTGGTTTACTTCACATTTAATCCTAGTTTAGTTTTGATTTATTTAGACCTGGTTTGGTCCTGATTTTGGCCAGATTTCAACTTGGTTAAATCTGCCTTAGTCCATGTTTAGACCTGGTTTGCTGGTATTCACTAATAGTAGTAGTAGTAGTAGTAGTAGTAGTAGTAGTAGTAGTAGCAATAGTACTAGTAATGCTAGTAGCCGTTGTAGTAGCAGCAGTAGTAGTTGTATTTGCAGTTTTTTGTAGTCTTTTGTAGCCTCACTGCTTCTGCTTTTTGTCTTCGAAGAAACTAAAATGTGTAAAATTCTAACATTGTGCAAGTTTGATTCAGTAATCCACTTCTCCAAATCTGTTTTACAACCTGGTTTCACTCTAGATCAGAGCTTCTGTAGAGGCTCATAATGTAACACACCTAAACCTGTATTTACTTGTTTCCTGAACGATTTTAAAGGCTCATTTGATTCTCACATCACGTTTAATTAAAACTGCATTTATATTTATGCAAACGCTCCATCAAAAAAAAAAAAGAAAAGAAAAAACTTGATTATAACAAAACTAAACCGGGACTACAACGACGGAACTAAACCAGGACTAAACCAATTCTACACGAGGACTAAGTCAGGCCCAAAACAGGACTAGATGTTTAGTCCAGCTCTGAAAATGCTAGTTTCATAGTAGTTACATTATCCTGTGGTGTTCCATGTAGCTCCTCTGTATTTTTAAAGTCCATTCACCTCCACTAGACTCATTTTAAACATTAGTGCTCCAACAGCCTTCATTACGCAGCAACTTTTGTGATATAGAAACCACTGTTTTTAGGTTCCAGTTCCTTCTTTATCATCTGTGAAATTACATCATAAGAGTCCCAACTGTACTGGAACATTTACTTTTTTTTTCTATTTCTATACTAAGGAATAAAGTATACCAAAATCTCTTCTTATGCAACAGAATGTAATTTAATTTTCAACAAAAAATAATTATAGTTTCTTTAAAGGTCCTATATTACACAAACTTGACTCCTGTGAGCATGTTTGTGTTGTTTTTTTCACCCACACATGTTTGAGTAACTCTTTATTATTAGTCTGTCTACATCTCCAAACATCAGAATGCTCTGTTGCACCTTGTGATGTCATGAAGCTGTAGTTTTGTAGTAGTAGTAGTAGTAGTAGTAATTAGCAGTAGGTAGTAGTTAGTAGTAATAGTAATAGTTAGTAGTAGTAGTGGTAGTAGTAGTAGTTAGTAGTAGTAGTAGTAGTAGTAGTAGTAGTAGTAGTAGTAGTAGTAGTAGTAGTAGTAGTAGTAGTAGTAGTAGTAGTAGTAGTAGTAGTAGTAGTAGTAGTAGTGGTAGTAGTAGTAGTTAGTAGTAGTAATAGTAGTTAGTAGTAGTAATAGCAATAGTAGTAGTTAGTAGTAGTAGTTAGTAGTAGTAGTAGTAGTAGTAATAGTAGTAGTATTAATAGTAATAGTAGTTAGTAGTAGTAATAGTAATAGTAGTAGTAATAGTAGTAGTAGTGGTGGTAGTAGTTAGCAGTAGTAGTAATAGCAATAGTAGTAGTAATAGGAATAGTAGTAGTTAGCAGTAGGTAGTAGTAGTAGTAATAGTAGTAGTTAGTAGTAGTAGTTAGTAGTAATAATAGTAGGTAGTAGTAGTAGTGGTATTAGTACTAGTTAGTAGTAGTAATAGTAGTTAGTAGTAGTAATAGCAATAGTAGTAGTAATAATAATAGTAGTAATTAGTAGTAGTAGTTAGTACTAGTAATAGTAGTAGTATTAATAGTAGTAGTAGTAGTAATAGTAGTAGTAGTAGTAATAGTAATAGTAGTAGTAGTAATAGTAATAGTAGTAGTAGTAGTAGTAGTTGTTCTTGTTGTTTTTCTTGTTCTTGTTGTTGTTTGTTTTGAAGTTAACAGATACTTTTACCTTTGTTTCAGTAGAGGTGGGTAAATCCAGAGTTGAAATCATCCAAATGATTCTAGTGAGGGTGTATGGAGTTTAAAAACACAGTGGAGCACCACCAAGATGGAACAGAGTGTTTGTTTGTTTGAGAGAAAAACTCGGCTTAAATATACAGTGTGTTGTGTGTTAAACATGTGTGAATGAAACAAAACACAACTCCAGGTCTGTTTGTGATGAGGAAACAACATTATAAGAATGAATTATTTATGGAACAAAACCATTCTGCACCGGAGCACTGTAACACTTTGTAATTGTGTTTTTTATGTGTTTATTGTGTATAATGTGGATGAATTAAGTGGGAAATGTGGGACCAGCCTCTCAAATCTGCAAAACAAATTTACCTAGGGGTACGAATAAAGCAACCTAACCTAACCTTATAACAGATCAGAGGAAAAAAAAAGATCATACAAAAGAGTATAAAACTATGAAATCAAATCAAATGTTTCTTTAAGCTTACAAATTTACATTTCTTTCAAGATATTGTGCTAATATTTTAGAGACAGTATTATCATAGGAGAGTAGATTAAGTAACAGTAGCCTTGCTAGTTTACAGGAAGTCGGTTTACCACAGACCACCTGTACTTCTGCAAAGCTTCATGGGAGACTGACTCAGACAGACAGAGGAAATGTCCTTTAAAGCCTCATCATACTTTCATTATTCAGTATAGGATAAAAGGAGGTGGTGTTGTGGGTTAAACATTTGCACATAAACCAGATGGTCACCAGTTTGAATCTCACCTAAGGATACTGCAAAGTATTGTGGCTGGTTATAAATGGGAGGGCATCTGGATTAAAAGCTGTAATCATTTTGAAAACCTTTAAATGTTGTGGAAAGTATAGTAAAGATAAGTATTACTGTTAATTCAAAGTAATAATATTAAATTAAAGGCTCACTGCGTAGCTTTTCTACTTAAGGGTATATGCCACCTGCTTGTCTCCATGGAGATGTTATTACTTAGTCTCGAATGTTTCACAGTATGGCATTACATTACTTGGTTGATCTTTATGGAAACAAGTGGAACCACTGGGCAAAGTTAAAAGTCAGATCTCTGGAGAGGCGACCCCACTCATAGTAAGAGTCTACGGGGTATTAACTAAAACACATAACATATTTAGATCACCATGTAACCTTTTCTTTTTTTTGAAAATGCTACATTCACAGAAAACAATGTATTAACACACAGTGGCAAAGATAGCAATTTTGGGGCCCTAGGCGAACTTGAGTTTGGGGGCCCTCACTATAATGCACCATTTTATTTACTGTCAGTTTTTCTCCATTGTTCTTCTATTTATTTGAATTATGGTGGATTGGAAACTTGTCTTATTAGTTAGATAGCCGACTAACCAGAAGGGAGAGTAGTTTTATTTTTTTGCTGGTACATTACATTTTGGTTTACATTCATTACATATGATTTACGAAATTATTATTTTTCTTATGATTATTGTTTAAAACTAAATTTAATGTCATATTGAGAGAAAATCAAATGAGGCCTCGGTCTTTAGTGGCACTGAGGACAAGTGGTCGGGGGCCCCTCCAGGTTTGGGGGCCCTAAGCAGCCGCCTACTCTTGCCTAATGGTAGCGCCACCTCTGTTAACATGTTTTAATTTAGTTTCTTGAGTCCCTCCTCTTTTTGCTCTCTGTGCTAAGTCACTCCCCTTCAGAGCACTATCACAAAACAATCTGCTAATGAAACTACTGCACATCGCATCAGGTTTGTCAACTTGCTGTGTACAGTTTTGTATCATGTTTTTGTATATTTATGAAGAATTGTTGTGTGGGAGCATGGGTGATTTAGGCTTGGGGGTGGAGCCTTGCACAGAATCTTACAGTTAACCTTAAGGAGGGTTTGAATAGGACCCAGGAGAGATCACTAACTCAAACATATGGATGACATCTAAAACCTCTTCAGGCATGTTTTTGATGAGAAAACAACATTATAACATGGGAAAAAGCTTTAAAAAAAAAAAAAAAAAAAAGTCAATTTTGCATAATACCCCCTCTTTCAAGTGCCTAGGACAGTGTAGACTACTCATTTGACTAAAACACAGTTAAGATCATTATATTTAAGATTTTATCAAACATTTAGAGCCATTTTTTAGGTTTCAAATTTTGCTTCCTAGTTGGAAGGCATGACATCCCTGTTGCTGTTACCTAGCAACCATATAGTACACTGGACCAAAACACCTCTAATGTACACAGAGATTAATATTTGACAAATAAAAATATCAGAAAACAAGCTCAATTTTTTTGAAATAATGTTTAAAATATCGGGTAAAAAACTGTTTCTTATATGTAAATTGTGTCAGATTTCTGGACAGAATTCTCCCAGTGTGATGTTTTCAGTATGGGGCTCTCTAAAATATAACTCTTTTTTCTGTAATGTTGTATATATTTTTCAACTTGCTTCCTATTTCTCAAATTGCATCCTGATCTGTGTAAAACATTTACAACAGTTATTATCCCACCAAATTAAGTAGAAATTAGAAAATTGAGAATTGTCAAAACCTGCCTGCCATATGCATTTTTAAGTTTTTTTTTTGTTTGTTTTTTTTTTTAAGCAATCTGTCAGCTGTAAGATAAATTTTATGTCATACTGTGCAACATTCCTGGCAAAGCAATAACATCTCCATTCCTGGTACAGTAAAGTTCCACAGAGCGTCTTTAGGTCACAGTATCACAGACTGCTGCAGCTGAACCTTTGCCCAGACGTGGTGACATCTCAACAGGAAGCACAAAGCATTCTGGGACGGCTAATAAAACGAGAGGTTTTACTGTGTTAAAGGAAACTACACTTCCTGAACAGACAACTCATTCAAACCCACACAATCGACCAAAAATACTAGAATCCAAACTGAAAATCTACAAATATAGAACACTGTAAAAATCAAAGTTAAAATGACTAAAATTAAGAACATTTTATTTTATTTGAGTAGATTATTTTAAAGGTGCATTGTGTAACTTTTTGGTTGAAGGTGTGTCACCTGCTTGTTTCTAGTCATTGCTCTGCCTGGAATGTTCCACAGTATAACAGGAAACAGTTCTATTTTACATTTATTCAATTACAGGTAGTTTTATAGCTCAAAAATACCTAGAGAAACAGGCATTCTGTTGCCTCTCCACGGATCTGACCTGTAACTTGATCTGGTTTGGTCTCCGTGAAGATAGAAAGGTTTAATGCCATACTGTGAACCAGTCCAGACAAAACAAGAATTTGACAGAAATTGAGAAATTTACTGAGAACCTAATAAAATTTTCTTGAAGGGACAGTCCGAAATTTTGGACATAGAACTTCTCCTGGTGAGCCAGAGTGTTGGAGACGTGTGGAGACACTTTTTGAAATATTCCATCCAGTCCTTGTATTTGCAGAGATCGCTGGTGCTAGGCTAGTGCATGTCAATGGCCATAGTTCTCCTGCCACTAAAAACAGTCTTACCCACTCCACAAAACACCTGAAGAAAATCTATTATTACACCAGACTGTCCATGTGATTGTCTGTGTTGATAGAAAAATGTTTGAAATAAAACTAACTTGCATCTCATGAATCGTTGCATGTTGAGGGATTATTTTCTCAGCACCAGCGGAATTTTACTTTGCTGGTAAGATAGGTGCTAGGTGATATCAGTCTACCGCTGCTAAGCTTTCTATTAGGAAGTATAACTTGCTGCTGCTGCTCAAACATAAATCCTTGAAATACAAGGTTGGTTTTACTTCTAAAATGATTCTATCAACACAGACATTCACATCAACAGTCTGGTGTAATAACAGATTTGCTTCGGGTGTTTTGTGGAGTGGGTAAGACTGTTTTTAGCAACAGGCTAACTATGGCCATTGACATGCACTAGCCTAGCACCAGCGACCTGTGCAAATACAAGGACTGGATGGAATATTTAAAAAAGTGTCTCTACATGTCTCCAACACTCTGGCTCACTAGGAAATGAGGCTCTATGTCCAAATCCAGACTGTCCCTTGAATTCAACTCATCTTAACTTGGCTACATTTGAGTTTTTGCAGTGAACCAGCAATTGCTTTTAGCCTCATTTACACTGCTTAAAATCCTTCCTGCATTTTTACATAGTCAGAAATAAGGACTGAATTAATTTGACTTGTTTCTTATATTTACATTTTTATTTTAAACTGTGATTTTTTTAGAGAGGGTATTATGCAAAATCAAGTTTATAACATTGTTCCCTCATCTAAAACATGTCTGAAGAAGGACCAGAAGGTTTTAGATGTCATCCATGCATGTTTGAGTAATTTAGCAATCTCTCCGGGCGCTATTCAAACCCTCCTTACGTTTACCTGTAAGATTCTATACAAGGCTCCGCCCACAAGCCTAAGTCACTTATGCTCCCATACGGCAAATAAATATACAAAAACATGACTCAAAACTGTACATAGCAACTTGCAGTAGTTTCATTAGTGGGACGCACACTGATTGTGTTGTTATAGCGCTCTGAAGGGGGAGTGACACAACGCGGGGAGCAAAGGAAACATGTCAATACATAGTTTTTGGCAAATATAAAATTTTTAAAACACTAAAAGGAAACATGGTGATCTAAATATGTTATGTGTTATACCCCATAGAAGTGAAATACTCCTCTTTAACAATGAATCATTATTTATTTCATTAATTATTAGTTTTAATGTATTCTTTTTTTTTTTTTTTCTTTCAGATCGGTCAGTGATGTCTGTCTTCTGCTGCTGCTGCGTTGTTCATACAAGGTAATAACCAAAACCACTTCCTTTCTCAGTTATCGGTGGTTTTCAGATTCGAGAAGGAGAATGGGAGCAGATCTAAGAACCAGATTTCCCAATAGACCTTTTACACAGCGGTTGGAAATCCCACGTTGTAGGGTTGTGGCACTTCTGGTTAATGGTTTTACGACGGCAAAATGTCTGCGGAAATGTCTCGCATATTCTCAACCAGCTTAATAAATCTGCATCTCAACATCATCAACCAGCAAGATGGACACAGGATAAACATTCTATCGTGAAGAATTTATCCACAACTATCAAGATAAGAAAGATGAAAGCTTAAAGATGTAAACAACTACTAGCATTTGTGAACTGCTGAGCAAAACTAATGTTATGGTCATGAATAAAACATAAGTAACTTGTTCACTCAGACTGATCCGAGAATTAAAATAAAAAAGCAATTTCATGATGTAGATATTAGCATAGATAGATAGATTTGTGAAGTTTGGGTGCAAGACATGTAATCTGTGAACATCTCCAGCATAAATAAATAAATTCTTCGTGGAAAAATCACGGCCCTCATGAAAAAAGTCTATTGCTGTGTTTCAGATGACATCAGAGCAGTCTATCAGCCATGATTATTAATACAAATGGGAGGGCAGCTAAAATTCTTAAAATGCAAAGTTATGCTGTAATACAGTGAGTTCTTGAGTTTAGTTAATAATTGAAAATACCAGGTTCAACATTCGAGAATTTACCTTTTGTATATTTGATGGTAAAGTACAACGTGATCAATAGGAAAAAAGGACTTTCCCCCCCATCAGAGAGAGACATAATCATATTCTAACCTGAAAACTACTATTAATATATTCTTTTGTACTTTGCCCTGAGAACATTTAAAAGTGGAACCTGACTATTTCTATTAGTGACTACACCCAAGAACTCACTGTATTACAACAGAAAGCTGCATTTTAATAATAATTTCAGCTGCCCCCATCTGTATTGAATCATATTGGCCTGTAGAATGTTGTAATGTAATCTGAAACCCAGCAATAGACCGCCACAGTATTTTAAATGAGCACCTTTTGGCAAATTCTTATTATAAAATCACCATGTGACAAAATCACACCACTGTGAGTGTCCTGTATTATCTGCATCTCAGAGTAAAACTTGTCATCAAATCAATTCAATCACTTCATTCATCTCTATGGGGTAGAGATGGGACAAGATCTCGTATTACAAGACCTCACAAGACAAAATGAGGAAAATGATCTCATGACATGTTTTTCCTCATATTTTTACATTTGCCATGGGAAAAAAAGGGTAGCTTTGCTGAGTTACTCCTCTTGAGAAGTTGTAATACCAAAAAGCAGTGCTACAGTGACACTGTAAAACTGTTAGATTAAATACATAACATGTTTTATTATTTATTAATATTGTATCAAAATCTCATCTCGTCTCATTCTTGTGAGCCAATTCTCATACCATGGCTCGTCTTGTAGAAATTGTGTCTAACCCTAAACCTAATAAAAAACCATAGAGAGTAGCAGAGTTTCATAATAAAGGTACATACATAAAATCAGCCGTAACATCCATTAGGGGTGAGACGAGACACAATTTTCACAAAAGGAGACATACCACGAGATCAGATCTGCGAGAACGAGACATGTCGAGATTTTGACCTAATTTGTAATAAATGAGTAGTGCAATCCATTTCACAATTTTGGCTTCACTTCTTGTGAAAGACAGGAAGAACTACTTTCTGTTTTCACAGGTACCCCAACTTTAAGAGAAAAAAAAAAAGAAAAGATCTTTGTATCTGGGTTTAAAATCTATGCAAATAAATAAAAACTGAATCATTCTGTTGTTGTTTTTAGAGAGTACAGTACAAGCATGAACCTGGAAGGAAGTCCCTCTCTGTGTTTCCAGAGGAGGAACTATCCTGGACATGCACGACGGGCTCAGGTCAGTCTTGAAATCATTTATGAAACTTATGAAAGTATGAGTGTGTGTGAATGGGGGAGTAGTTCCTTGTTGTAAAGCGCTTTGAGTGCCTTGAAGGTGGAAAAGTGCTGTATAAAAATTTACCAATCCAAAAACATTCATTTTGTCTTCTTATGTACATTAACATCTTGGGTTCTTTTTAAACACAATTCAGTAGGAGGTGCAACAAGGTAAATACATCTCCTACTGAATTATCATTAAAGGTCCTATATTATGCAAAATGGTCTGTTCTGAGCTTTTAGTCGTGTTCTAATGTTGTTACCTCCTCATAAACATATCCAGAGTTGTGTTTTGTTTCATTCACACATGTTTGAGTAACACTACAATATTAGTCTGTCTACATCTCCAAAGCTCAAAATGCTCTGATCCACCTTGTGATGTCATGAAGCAGTAGTTTTCAAGTAACAGTTGCAGTAGTAGTAGTAATAGCAGTAGTAGTAGTAGTTTTATTAGTAGTTGTAGTAGTAGTTGTAGTAGTAGTAGTAGTAGCAGTAGCAGTATTAGTAGTAGTAGTATTAGTATAAGTAGTAGTTGTAGTTATTGTTGTTGTTGTACTTGTAGTAGTTGTAGTAGTAGGAGTAGTAGTAGTAGGAGGAGTAGGAGTAGCAGTAGTAGTAGCAGTAGGAGTAGTAGTAGGAGTAGTAGTTGTTGATGTTATTGTTGTTGTTGTTGTGGTTATTGTTGTAGAAGTATTGGGAGTAGCAGTAGTGTCGTAGGAGTAGTAGTAGTAGTTGGAGGAGGAGAAGTAGTAGTAGTAGTAGTAGAAGTAGAAGTAGTTATTTCATGTTAATGCGATATAAATTACTTCATATACTTGATGACTTCAGTGTGTATTTACAGTGTAGAAAGTCATACACAGAAAGAAAGAAAAACATTGAATGAGAGGTGTGTCCACACTTTTGACTGCTATTGTATGCTCATAAAATATATAATGTAAGGTTTCATTTTTAAAAAGTTGAATTTAAATAATCAAAAGTAAAAATAATCACTGACTGATCAAATAATTGTTAGTTTTGGGATTTGGACATTGTAATTGTGTGGTTGTTGGATCCTAACAGTGGAAAACGGCTCGAGAAATTTGTTTGCGAACTTCATAACTGCAAAAGGGAATCAGATGTGTGTGACTGCAAACCTCTGTTCAAACTGTTTCCCTTCCCAGCGGAATTGAAAAATAGTGAAAGGTGAAGGCCATGGGCAATATTGATACACAGGAAAGATGAAAAAGGAAACCTTTGACTGCCTAAATCATCCTGAGTTTGCAGCGAACATTTTGTATGTGGAGCACCATCAAAGCAAAACCCCGATCCCTCGTTCCATTTGGTTACGAATTTAAAAAGTCAACACCAAAGCGAAAGGCATCAACTGTTTACCAAGAAACACCTTCCACTGCAAAGCGACCAAGATGTGATGTTGCTGTAAAACCACAAGAACAAGAAGTCTGAGCTCAGTCTGTTTGTCTTCTGTAACTCTCACTTAACAAACAGGATCCCGCTTTGATGGTGCTCCACATACAAAATGTTTGCTGCAAACTCGGGATGATTTAGGCAGTCAGAGGTTTCCTTTTTCGTCCTTCCTGTGGATCAATACTGCCCATCGCCTTCACCTTTCACTATTTTTCAATTCCGTTGAGAAGGGAAACAGTTTGAACAGAGGTTTGCAGTCACACACATCTGATTCCCTTTTGTATTTATGGAGATTGCAAACAAGTTTCTCGAGCCGTTTTCCACTGTTAGAACATCCAACAACCACACAATTACGATGTCTGAATCCCAAAACTAAAATATGACAATATCAGAACCAGAAACAAAAGTGATATGGTTCAAAAGACTAGAAAACACTGACTTTGTCAATAGACGCATCCCACTGGGAAAACAAACATGGCAGTTTGATGCTCACTTTTTCGGAAAATCCTTCCCAGTATGAATTGTGCATTGACCGGAAGTCTGAAATTCTTGATGCATCTATTGGCTTCTGCACTGACTCATACCATGTGTTCAGATGGACAAGTCGAGGAAGAAGCTGCCCATGCCTCCTCCAGAAGGGGACGACACTGAAGGCCATGGGCTCAGGGTCGTGGCTATGTACGACTTCACCGCCAAAGAAGACACAGACCTCACTATCAAACAGGTGATTGAATTATTAGTGAAAATAATATAAACATACAGTATTTCCAACCAGGTCCTGTATTGAACACAACTCTTATGTAACTTCTCCTCATTTAAATCATGGAGTTGTGATTTGTTTCATTGCACACAATTTCCAGGAGGGGGAGCTGAGACTCTGAAATTATACCCTGCAGCTGAACATTAACATTCCTTAGGTGTGTGATGCTAACTGTAAGCACTGCTCCGTCTGAAGCTCTGTTACTCAAAGACTTTATTCTGAGTTTTATTTTAACACACTCTGACCAGAAATAGTTGATTTAGCTGGAACTGCAGCAGGTGAGCTGATTTGTGCTGTTAAACAAGTCCCCCCCCCCCCCCCCCCCCCCCCCCAGCATAATGTCCCTGCAAAGTCTAGACTCATTCTGATTAAATACATTCACATCTGTCATGTCTACTTGCCCTGGTTTCATTCGAGTCCTGTTTTTCCTTCAGGGAGAGGAGTACTTCATTTTACACAAACAGGACCAGCTGTGGTGGAGAGCTCAGGACAAGCACGGGTTTGTACAGTCACTGCAAAATCAACTTTTTTTTTTTTTTTTTTCATGTTTTTATCCATGTTATAGCCGTTTCTTTCTCATTTACCTTCTCAGAGTTGTATTTGGTGTGAGCTTCTTTGAGTAATCTTTTATTTTCAAGACACCATTTTGCAGATCAACCACACGCTCACTGCTCTGTACTTCATTTTACAATTTTATTTCCTTAATCTGTGGCAGATATTAAGTTTGATACAAAAAAAAAAAAAAAAAAAAACTCTTTTACTCACTATTTGTGCATTGGCGATCTCCTCAGTTTCACTTTCGTGTCACCATCTGAAATCAAAAAAATGGTTTAAAATTGTTTGTGTCTGAAAATGACAAGTGAATACTGGTGATTAGATGATATGGTTTGTGAAAGACAGGAAGTTATTTTTAGTGAACTACTTTGTCTTTTCATGTCTTAAAAACCAGGTACCCCAACTTTAAGAGTAAAATAAATGAAAAAAATATGAATAGATCTTTGAATCTGGGTTTAAAATCTATGTAAATCAGAGGTGTCCAAACTTTTTTCATCAAGGGCCACATATCTAAACACAGATGAAGCAGAGGGCCGATCAAGGGCCGTAGACTGATGCTCAGTACAGGGAATAATTGAAATATGTGCATGTTTAACACGTTAGAATGAGGCATCAGTCTTTATTTATGCTAAGATCCTTAAAACCACACACTAAATATTAAATATGAGCTTTATCAAGGTAGATTTTCAAAAAAGTTGCAATAAAAAACTATTTTTTAATTGATGCAAGTTAATTTGGCCCAATTCACCTGGAAGTCTGAGGGCCAAGAAAAATTTGTCTGAGGGCTGCATTTGGCCCCCGGGCCATAGTTTGGACATGCCTGATGTAAATAAATAAAAAACTGAATTGTTCTGTTGTTTTGGTTTTCTTATCTTATTTTGAAGTATCACAGACGCCAATTCTTCCAGTCTTAAGAATGTTTTTGAAGGATTATGAAAATATTAAAGGTGCATTTTGTAACTTTTTGGTTGGAGGACCTTCACCTGCTTGTTTCCAAGGATATGTCATTGCTCTGCCTGGAATGTTCCACAGTATGACATTAAACAGCTCTACTTTATATTTATTCAATTACATGTGGTTTTATAGCTCAAAAATACTTAGAAAAACATGCCTTGTGACAGGGATGCCTCTCCACAGATCTGACCTGTAACTTGACCTGGTTTGGTCTCCTTGAAGATAGAAAGGTTTAATGCCATACTGTGAAACATTCCAGACAAAGCAACAACATCTCCATCAAGAAAAGTATTTGACAGACCCTCCACCAGAAAAGTTAAACACTGCACCTTTGAACAATGATTAACCTGCTAATATTGTTGTTGTTGTTTTTTTTTTTTTTTGTATTCAGAAACAAAGGCTTCATTCCGAGTAACTACGTGACAGAGAAAAACAACATTGAGGCCAATGCGTAAGTGCCACATACTTACTTTTTATTTCTATTTCAGATAGTTATAATTTAAACTCATCTTATTTCTTTCAGATGGTATTGTAAAAACATCAACAGGACTGAAGCCGAGCAGCTCCTCAGACAAGAGGTACCACCGGCTTTTCAAACTTTTAAAATGTGTCAATTAAAGGTGCATTGTGTAGCTTTTTTGTTGAAGAGGCCGTCAAATGCTTTTCTCCATGGAGATGTTATTACTTTGTCTGGAATGTTTCACAGTATGGCATTAAACCTTTCTATATGCACGGAGACCAAACCAGACCAAGTTACAGGTCAGATCTGCAGAGAGGTGACCCCACTCACAGTCAGAATGGCTGGTATTTCTATGTATTTTTAAGCTATAAAACCACCTGAAATTGAATAATAAGTAATGTCATACTGTGGAACATTCCAGGCAGAGCAATAACATATCCACAGAAACAAGCAGGTGACAAACCTCCAACCAAAATGTTACCTAGTGCATCTTTTTATTCACAAGTTGCTTACATGAATTTGGAAGCAACTTTTCAAATAATTCTGTTTAACTTTAATTTTATATCAGTTCGGTTTAATTAAATAGTTACTGAGCCTGAATCATTCTTAAACTATTATTACTGCCATCGGTACACGCCCACTGCTCTGTACTTACTTTGTTTTCCAGTTTTATTTTCTTAATCGGTGATACGAGTTTGTTTCAACAGTGTTGTCTAATCATTTTGGTACAAATGAAAAATGCTTGTTAGTGTCAGTGTGCGGCTATCCAACAGAAGAGCTGACTCTTTGTTGTGATGATGTTTATGGCGATGTCAGCTCCCATTGGGCACCACAGTTTTCTAACATGATTCTGTTATGTGATTTAAAATGTGCAAATTGTAACAGAATGATCCATGGGTGTCATAGGTTATATAACAGACACAAGCACAATAGATCTTCTTTTAAGCAAATGAATGTAGCTATCACAAAGTGGTAATAAAGCTTGTCTCCAATAAAACAACAGACATTTCACTGACTAAAAAACTAAACAGTCCTTTCATATTTCAGGGAAAAGAGGGCGGGTTTGTGGTCCGAGAGTCGAGCCAAAGAGGAGTCTACACCGTGTCTGTCTACAGTAAAACTTTAGGGTAAGAAATCACAAAAACTATGACGCTTTGATTTCAGAAGGGTGTGATATTGGTAAAAAGCAGGAAGAAAATGAATAAGAAGGTCACCAGATCACACAAGGGAATGTTGATGACTTATCAGTATTTGTTTGCAGAGGACATAATGCCTAATTGTAGCCTGTGACACTTCCTTATGGGTACTCATTCAAATGTGTTCTAATGTTTTTTCAGGGAGAGTGGAGGAGTGAAGCATTATCAGATCAAACTCAGTGACACGGGACAGTTTTATTTGGCTGAAAAACACACGTTTGACTCCATTCCAGAAGTAATCCACTACCACGAACACAACGCAGCAGGTACCACTTACAGACATTATAATAATGTCTATGCATAATCCATATTTAAAGGTGCATTGTGTAAATTTAGTCTCCATGGAGATGTTATTCCTTTGGCCAGAGCCACAAGTGTTTCTATTGCTCAAAGTGTATTCATTGCATTCTTTGTATGGAGTTGCCTCTCCATAGATCTAGAAGCTGTCTATGTATCTGTCTACCCATCTGTTTGTCTGTCTATTTATCTAAAGTAATAACATCCCCATGGACACAAGCAAGTAGCTGACCCTTTACCACAAAAGTTCCAAAGTACACCTTTAAAACTATCGCTACACATAATATTCTGTTGTATATTGAATGTGTATATTGTGTGTGTGTAGGTCTGGTGACTCGGCTGCGTTACGCTCTGGGGCCGATGGGGAGGTGTGTCCCGGCCACTGCAGGGTTCAGCTCAGGTAAAAAAAAGGTTTTTGTATTCTTACTGTGTAATTTCACATCTAATTAACTACATTTAAGCAACAGCCTTCTGGGCTGCACTTCCAGGCACTCCCTAAGGATGGCGCTGTCAAGCCTATTGTCTTTGTGTTACTGTGTCTAAATATTGTTGTTGTTGTTTTGCAGAGAAGTGGGAGATTAGCCCAAGTGAGCTGACCTTCATGAAGGAGTTGGGCTGTGGGCAGTTTGGGCAGGTGCGACTGGGCAAATGGAGAGCTCAGCACAAAGTGGCCATCAAAACCATCAGAGAAGGAGCCATGTACGAGGAGGACTTCATCGAGGAGGCCAAGGTCATGATGTGAGTACTACTACTACTACTACTGCTAATATTACTGCTACTGCTACTACTACTACTACTACTACAACTACTGGTGTGAGATCCTATCATTGTATTCAGAGGCTGTGCGTCTGTCTCCGAAGAGCACAGCAGTGTTACTGAGTTCATATCTGAGGCCACAGCCGCCCTCGGGTGAACTTGTGCCGTTCGTCTCTGAACATTCTCAGTCCCATTTGGTGATAGTGACCTACAGGCTAACAGAGCTAATGTAGTGCACTGATTTAACAAACTTCTCGATGATTTCCCAGGAGGCTTTGCCACCCACGGCTGGTGCAGTTATATGGCGTGTGTCTGCAGCAGCGCCCCCTGCTGATTGTGGCTGAGTTTATGGAGAATGGATGTCTGCTGAACTTCCTACGTCAGAGGGGCGGAGCTCTGAATGAGGCGTGGCTTCTGTCCATGTGTCAGGACGTGTGTGAGGGCATGGAGTATTTAGAGAGGAACTGCTTCATCCACAGAGACCTGGTGAGACTAACACTGTGTAACTGTTACACACTAACACTATGAGTGTAAAAGCACAGAGACACTATGAACACTGTGAATGTGGGACGTACTGTCTATGTTTGCGTATTCTCCCTGTGAGAGGGTTTTTCTGATACTCTGGTTTCATAGTCCTGGATCATATCTCTCTATGTATCTATGCATTCTCTATGCATTTTTAAACAGTTTTTCTTTTTCAGGCGGCAAGGAACTGCTTGGTGAACGAACACAATGTGGTGAAAGTCAGTGATTTTGGGATGGCAAGGTACAGATACAATTACATGCTTCAGCCAGAGGGGGGCAGTAATGAACCATAATTTGAACAACATGTTGACTAAAATCTGAACTGCTAAACCAATACAAGAATTTTATCAGCTTTTACACAGAATCAAACCCCATGGACTTTTATTGAATCTGTGAGCCCTCTGAGCCGCTTTATCCTTCCCCTGTCTACCTCTCACTGTGTCCTTCTGTTTTCAGGTATGTGTTGGATAATCAGTACACCAGCTCCAGTGGGTCCAAGTTCCCGGTGAAGTGGTCTCCTCCAGAGGTTCTCCACTACAGTAAATACAGCAGCAAGTCAGATGTGTGGTCGTTCGGTGAGCTCCACAATATTTATGTAAAAACACTGTAAATGAGGTTAAAACAATTTCCTGGAGGTAATTTAAGTGACAATGTTTTAAAGGTAGAATGAGTGTGTAGTGACAGTATATGGACTTGTGTTAGCAGTCAGTACCCCGTAGAAGTAAAATACCCCCTCTTTAAGTCAACATTATATTTCTTAGAGTTTATTCTATTTTAATTCTTTCTTTCTCCCTGTCGTGTGCAGGAGTGGTGATGTGGGAGATCTACTCTGTGGGCCGGACCCCTTTTGACAACCGCTCAAACTCGGAGGTGGTCGATGATATCACAAGAGGAATCCGACTGTACAGACCGCACAAAGCCTCACACGCGCTCTACAAAGTCATGTACATGTGCTGGCACAACGTACGCTTTAATGAACACTCTCTATGAATGAATATGATATATTACTATTCCCCACTTTTTTTTAGATTTATTTGTAAAGTGCACTTTCTTCCAATGTGAGATTCATGATTTTAATGTTTGGTTTTCTTTTTGTATGTTACAGAAACCCCTGGAGCGGCCATCTTTCGCTGAGCTGCTGGAGGAGATCAAAAAACTGTCAGAAAATCAGGACGTAGTAGTAGTATGAAATCCACAACTATAATCAAAACTGTAAATAATGTGTATTTATAGTGTAAATACTTTATCTTTTTTATGTGACTATTGTTTTAAAGTTTTGTGTACAGTCTATTTTAATTGATTAATTTATAATAAAGCATGCAATATTGATTTTCTCATGTAGTAACTGTATTTTGTCACTAGATGGAGACAGTTCAAGCTAAATAGAGTGGCAGAATACTATTATGTCATTTATTGACTGCTTTTTAATTCTACAGTCTCTTAAAACTCACATTAAGAAGACAAGGGTTAGGGTTAGGGTTAGGGTTACCCTCAAGATAAATAGAGCTGCAAAATACTGTTTAGTCACTTTAATTCTGCTTATCAGGACTTAATTAATATGAAATCCACAACAATGGTCAAAACTGTAAACAAAGTTTATTTAGTACTAGTGTAAAAACAATTCAACTATTCAAATTTTGTGAGTAGTCTTAACCTTAATTCAGGCATGTCCAAACTATGGCCTGTGGGTCAAACGCGGCCCTCAGACAAACTTTTCTTGGCCCTCAAGCTTCCAGGTGAATTAGCTCAAATTAACTTGCATCAATAGAAATTAACTTTTTACTCCAAATTTTTTGAAAATCTACCTTGATAAAGCTATTATTTAATATTTAGTGTGTTAAGACTGGAAGAATTGGCCTCTGTGATACTTCAAAATAAGATAAGAAAACCAAAACAACAGAACAATTCAGTTTTTTATTTATTTACATCAGGCATGTCCAAACTATGGCCCGGGGGCCAAATGCAGCCCTCAGACAAATTTTTCTTGGCCCTCAGACTTCCAGGTGAATTGGGCCAAATTACCTTGCATCAATTAAAAAATATTTTTTTACTGCAACGTTTTTGAAAATCTACCTTGATAAAGCTCATATTTAATATTTAGTGTGTGGTTTTAAGGATCTTAGCATGAATAAAGACTGATGGCACTTTATAACGTATTAAACATGCATATATTTCAGTTATTCACTGTATTGCGCACCAGTCTACAGCCCTCAATCGGCTCTCTGCTTCATCTGTGTTTAGATATGTGGCCCTTGATGAAAAAAAGTTTGGACACCCCTGCCTTAATTGATTAATTTATAATAAATCATGCAATATTGAGTTTATCATGTAATAACTGCATTTTGTCACTAGATGGCGACAGTTCAAGCTAAATAGAGTGGCAGAATACTATTATGTCATTTATTGACTGCTTTTTAATTCTACAGTCTCTTAAAACTCACATTAAGAAGACATTTTTCCAAGATATTTCTGAGCAATACAATTACATTTACATAAAGGAAGTATGCAGCCTATGCACTTACAGTCTTAAATAGTTACTTACTACATTCACAACTGAACCAATGTAGATAGTTTGTCTCATTCTCAGTATATGGACATATCAGGCCTCATGTGAAAGCTCAGAACCCCCAGAATTCCCTCAATGAGCTGCGGAGGCTGCACAAGCACTGGGGTTTTGGTAGTGACCATCCAGATCAGAGAGAGACATTTTAGGTTTAAACACACTGGATTTCAGCATTCAGCTCATTCTGCTTTCTGATTGGAGAGTATAATCGTCATGAGAACTAAAACAACAAATCAGAACAAAAATGTGACAATTATGCCCAATGTTTTAATGTTCTCTAATGTTCCAATAGATGCATCAAGAATTTTGGACTTCCGGTCATTGCACAATGCATACTGGGAAGGATTTTCCAAAGAAGTGAGCATCAAACCGCCATGTTTGTTTTCCCATTGGGATGTGTCTATTGACAAAGCCAGTCTTTTCAAGACTTTTGAACCATATCACTTTTGTTTCTGGTTCTGATGTTGTTATATTTTAGTTTTGGGATTTGGACATCATAATTGTGTGGTTGTTGGATCCTAACAACGGAAAACGGCTCAAGAATTTTTTTGCGAACTTCATAAATGCAAAAGGGAATCAGATCTGTGTGACCTCTGTTCAAACTGTTTCGCTTCTCAACGGAATTGAAAAATAGTGAAAAAATAATGGAAAAATAGGCAAAAGTGATGGGAAGTATTGATCCACAGGAAGGACAAAAAAGGAAACCTTTGACTGCCTTAATCATCCCAAGTTTGCAGTGAACATTTTGTAGCAAACAAATTTCTCGAGCCATTTTCCAGTGTTAGGATCCAACAACAAACACAATTACGAAGTCCTAATCTCAAAACTAAAATATGACAATATTAGAACCAGAAACAAAAGTGATATGGTTCAAAAGACTAGAAAAGACTGGCTTTGTCAATTGACGCATCCCACAGGGAAAACAAACATCGTGGTTTGATGCTCACTTTTTCGGAAAATCCTTCCCAGTATGCATTGCTCAATGACCGGAAGTCTGAAATTCTTGATGCATCTATTAAGAATAAATGAACATTGCAGTTGCTTTCAGTAAAAGCTATATTTGATTTAAACATGATTTGACTTACATTGTTTCCATAGACTGTATAAAGAAGTGGACTAAGAGAGAATGACGTCACTCATAGTGTTCAGCTCCAGACAAATGAAGCTCATCGAGGCTGGCAGTTATAGGGGTGAATTTGGAGCCGATAGGAATTGATTTACTTTTATTTATTTATTTATTTATTTACGGACAAAATAGTAAAATAAAAACACAAAAATGTATATTATAAGACCAAAATGATGAGCCTCACAGCAGCAGTTAAAGAGTTTTTCAATACGAAGTGAACTGTAGCCAGAGTAAATGGAGCCGTTGTAGTGCCCTTATGCTCAGTTGCTATTTGGAACATGGCAGCTAGAGGGTTAGCTATGTCCATTTTTATATACAGTCTATGGTTGGAACATAAACAGGCTCCATGGAGACTCCAACAGAAAAAGTTCCATAGTATCACTTTCTCTGTTGTCAGCTGGTTTATGTTCATAGCTTTACAGCCATCTCTCCATCACTGTTTTAATCCCTTCTTACTCTCTCCCCTTTGAGCCAAAAACTTCAAGCATGACGTCACTAATCTGAATATTTCCCATGATGCCGAGGGGCTTAATCCAGTCCGGCCATGGCAGCACCAGAGGAGAGAGAGGAGCTGTTTAAGAGGGAGAAACAACATGGATTTGGATCAAATTTTATGATGAATTTTGAATTTTTTAGAAAATTATGTCACAGTTTTTTTTGATACTGTATTTTCAGACACGCTCACTGCTGATGATGTAAAAATGAAGATGCTAATTGGATTTTAATAGATTTTTTACACAGAATTTTCTGACAATTATTCTACATTTTGATCAACAGTCTATTACTTAAATTTTTTGGTACTCGGGTTAAAAAATTTGTTTATTTTTTGTGTTTTTTTTTATTAGTAAGGAACAGATGTAACGCATGATTTTTAATTTTGTACTTTATTACTTAATCAGAACTTTTGACATTTTAAAATAAATATAAGAAGAATGGACGCGTGATTTTGTTATTTTTTTCATTATCAGTGCATTGAAACGTTGGTAGCTTTTATTTATTTATTTATTTTATTTTTTTTAAGTTGAGTTAAAAAATGCATCGAGTGTTGGAGGCCTGCACTGGGCTCTTCTCTTCACCTGAAGACAACAGCGCCCCCAATGGACAGGTAAGGAACTGCAGAACTGCACAAAATATTCAATCATGATTCCTTTTACAGAAAAAATGCATTTTTTGAACAATAAAACACCCGCAATTGAATAAATGCATTTTAAATACCCTGTGAATCATTCCAAACAAAGCAATAACATCACTGGAAAAGGTACGCAATGCACCTTTAAAGGAACTATGGATCTGTGCCCCCTGATACGAGGCAGATCAAGTCATGTTCAAACCAAATCTAGCTTCTGATAACAACTGTAATATTGATTTATTCTTAATTACAAAAACATTGGACAAGACAGACAAGTAGTTTATGTTATAATTTTGTGGTTTGGTTCTCCAGTCAGAAAGTAGAATGAGCTGAATACTGAAATCCAGTTGGTTTAAATCTAAAATGCCTCTTTCTGACCTGAATGATCACTACCTGTCCATATACTGAGTCTGCCTGTCCATATACTGAGAATAAGACAAACTTAGATGTGTCCTCTATGCTGCAGGTTAAGGCTCTGGCAACACAGGTTTAGTTGTGATTGTAATTCTTTAAAACAAGTGGTCAGATTACATACAGTTCTATTCAAGTCTCTCTGTGTGTGTGTGTGTGTGTGTGTGTGTGTGTGCTCAATAATAGCTAAAACCAGCTCTGATTTGGCCTCAAAATGGTGATTTCTTGAGAGAGCCACAAACTTTTGAAACCAGACACTTCTCAATATCCTGTGTGTCTGTGGCTTCTGTGTCTCTGAACATAAGTACATGTATATACGTATTTAGTGCTCAAAACGTTTAGTGAGCGAGATGATGTCCTCCCAGCTCAAGGTAATGTGTGAATTTAGGTACTTTAGTTTATCTTAGTTTATTATTTATTAGTTTATTATTTACACATAAGTGCAAATTATGGATCTACTTTTGTTAAGGTGCACTATGTAACATTTCTGTCTCCATAGATATGTTGTTGGTTTACTTGGAATGTTCCACAGTAAGGCATTAAAGCAGGCCTATCATGCAAAATAACATCGCCAAGGAGTTACAATGTGAATTTTTCTCAAAACAGCACAGGTTATAGGAAGCCATGAGTACTTAAACCTTTAGGACTGTTGCCATGGTGATTACCAGTGGAAAAACAAAATATCATATCTTTTGAATGGGGAAAAAGTCCTCAAAATGGCGCCTATAACAGGAAGCTGAAGCCCATGAGTTTGTTGTAAAGCAAAGTTGTATGAGAATGAGTTTACTGAGATTTGGGTCAGTAATCCTCTGGTGTTTTTATCATCGCCATGGGAACACACTAGTGGTAAATAAAGTGGATACAGGACATGTTTTGTAATTACAGTAAATCCAAAGCAATAGCCACAATAGTAGTAGTAGTAGTC